AACGTAGAAACCTCAAATCATGTGAAACCGTGAAACTCCTGTTTCCCTCATTGGTCCAGGCGGGGGCGTTTCGCTAAGGACAAAGATGAGACCTTTTCGTGCTCTGGTCCTCATGCCCGAGGTCGGGTGCTGTCTGCTTAAATTACATAGTATACATGAGTGCATTTGATGCCCGAAAGTTCCATTCCTCAGAAACATCGCCAGCGACATCTTTTCAACACTGGGAATGACACACACTATGAAAGGAGAGGGTTGATGCATTCATGGTGAATCAGAAGAACAAAAACATCCGTACGGCCCGGAAATCGGCCCAGCGTTTTCATTATTTTTTAAGATCAGTCTTTGTTTCTTTCTGCTCAAAACCTGGCGTTTGGCGCATGTCTACAATCATTTTGGTGCGCTTTGGTACTGCACTTCTACTGGGATCTACCAAAAATCTCTGCTTTATTGCAGTGGGAGCTAAAACATGTATGTTGGACACCCTCAAAAAAGTTACGTTTTCTGGAGGGGTATGCGTTTCGCCACAGTGCCAGCACTTCTTTTCTCTTCAGGCCAACTTGCGGACAGAAGACGTGTCCAACGTAAGATGAAGTACATCCACCAAAGTACAGAAGACGTGTCCAACATGACCGAAGTACAGAAGACGTGTCCAACGTAACATGAAGTGTGTCCACCAAAGGACAGAAGACGTGTCCAACGCAAGTCGAAGAAAACGAAGACCAAGAACGTTATTACCCCCCCACCCACCCAACATATCACAACGCAAAAAATGCAAAAACACTGGGCCAGTTTTCGGGCCGTAGGCAAAAACATCATGAGTCATCCAGTTTAGGAATCTGCAACAGCACTTTCTGGTTTGGTCATGACCTCGAAGTCTCAAGGTGATGCTGGAAGAAGCTGAAGCCAGATACAAGGCAGTAGCAGGCGAGTTGCCAGGGCATCGATTCAGAAAGATCAGAATATAACGACAACAGATCACAGCAGATTCTGACATGCATCAACAGTTATCAACAGTTATCAACAGTATATGAAGATTCTGAATGTGCAGGTGGTGGTTTGTTGGTGATGCGATTGGAAGCAAGCGACTCGGGCACAGACAAGGTGGTCAAGGCCCAACTAGAAGTGATGTTTTCGATTCCTGTAACCAAAGGCCAACCAACTTTTAGCTTGGAGCAGTCCGGTCCAAGTGCTTCAGTTCAAGTTGTCAGGCTCTGACATCATCGATCGGACTAGTTGTGGTTGGTATCTTCTGGCGAGTTTGGAAATGATGTGACCTTAATCTCAAGAGGAATGACAGGGGGGTGACTCGGTGATTCAATGGAATCCATCAACGATCAACTAAAAATGGTCTGCAAAATGCCACAACCGGATTTGGTGGCGGAGCCAGGTTCATATGCCGATGCTATCTACTTTGTCAGGGGCTTCCGTCGTGCCCGTTCTCAGTTGCTGACTCAGTGGTCAGATACGCACATCAAGAGTGATGAGGGAGACTGTGCCTGCACAGGGTTGCATGTAAGAGAAGCCTATAACATTTTATCCCTTGTTTGATTTATTATGTTTTCCGTATTGTAGTTTTGTCTATTTGTCTACAAGGTTGATGAATTTGCTCGTGTGCGAGATGGCGCACGTGGCCCTTACGGATGATGAGGATGCTTACAAGGCTGGTTTGCTTCTTGCGTAAACTTCCAGGAGTTGAGTTGGCTTTGAAGTATTTGTGGACCCTTCCGTTCGGTTTCAGGTAGTGATGGAATGGGAGAAGACCTATCGCGTTGGACGCCCAGATATCAATCTGTGGAAAAGATGGGAAAGGAACATAAAGCAACATAAAGCAACATAAAGCAACCATGCCCTGAAACCACAAAGATATCTTATATATTCTTATATATCTTATATCTTTGTGCTGACAATTTGTCAATTTGACGAGATTGCTTTGCAGGTGCAAGTGTTGCAGTCCCTCTTTATCTCGGGTCAATCCCTGGAAGCTGATCCAGTTCAGGGTTTGGAGGTGAGGTTGCTTCATTTTGCTTGAACACTGTCCGAACTTGATTCATTGAATGAGTGATGCAGTGATGTACTCTAGTTGTTGAATGTTGTTGAATGATGGATGTTTTTTCAGCTTCTTGTACCATGTTGTACCATATATTCAGCCTGGCAGGAAGCTACAATGGAAGTGTTGTATCCTCAGCCGCAGTTCAGATCAAGTACGGTAGTACGCTCACATTTATATCCATGGTCAGTTTGAACATGGATTTCTAGCATTTTCTAGCTCCATCCATTTGTTTACTTGTTTTTTGTTGTTCCCCACCTGCCAGGTGAGGGTTGTTAGATTTTATGTCAGTTGCCTCCTCCTCCTCCTTCTCCTCCTGCTCCTCCTCCTCCTCCGCCTCCTCCTGCCTCGTCCTCCTCTCCTCCTCCTCCTCTCGTCCTCGTCGTCCTCGTCGTCCTCGTCGTCCTCGTCGTCCTTGCTCAACTGCGACCCGCGATCCACAGTGTTCTCTGCCGGACCTCATCACGGACCTCAACCACGACCATCCACGCCCAGTGTTCCCTGCCGGACCTCAACCACGACCATCCACGCCCAGTGTTCCCTGCCGGACCTCAACCACGACCATCCGCGCCCAGTGTTCCCTGCCGGACCTCAACCACGACCATCCGCGCCCAGTGTTCCCTGCCGGACCTCAACCGCGACCATCCGCGCCCAGTGTTCCCTGCCGGACCTCAACCGCGACCATCCGCGCCCAGTGGTCCCTGCCGGACCTCATGTAGGAAGATAAAATGTCAGATAGAGTGCCAGAAGATTATGCCATGCCAGATAGAATGCCAGAGAAATATGCCAGAAGATATGCCAGATAGATATGCCAGAAGATATGCCAGATAGAATGCCAAATAGAATGTCAGAAGATATGTCAGATAGAATGCCAGAAGATATGCCAGAAGATATGCCAGATAGAATGCCAAATAGAATGTCAGAAGATATGTCAGATAGAATGCCAGAAGATATGCCAGAAGATATGCCAGATAGAATGCCAAATAGAATGTCAGAAGATATGTCAGATAGAATGCCAGAAGATGTGCCAGTAAGAACATGTATAAATGTCATGGTGGGGATCACACGAAGTAAAGTAATTTTTTTCGTTCAACAAGAGGTCTGATGGGTACAGTGTACAGCAGCATCGACAGGCAGTATCGACAGGCTAAGTCCTTGTTTTACATTTTCTTCAGCAAAACAAGGCCAGGAGTGCCATCCTACAAGGCCGCCTTTCCATGCCGTGATCATTGCAACTGTTTTTCTTCAGAGAAAGTGGGCATCAAGGATCTCAGATGCTTAGAGTTACACTAAGTACTCGTAAGTATTAAGATGTATAGAGTACCATAGACTGACCATAGAGTATATTACGAAAGCCAGCTAGCTGGCTAGTTGCTGTTTGCGAACGAAGTGAGAATAGGGGGTGTGGGGGGGGTGGTTGCCGAAAGGGAACGAAATCTCGCCGTGCCCCTGTGTTGAGCGCCAGAAAACGGAGCATTTTGCTGGATTATGTACCACTAGGTAATTTGCTGACGGTGGGGTATCGATTCCCCCTAGGTCCGCCTTTTTGGTGGCCGGAGAGACCATGAGGATGTATTGGAAAATACAATGAAACTGCAGGAAAACATGATAACGATCAGAGGAAATCGTACAAAATCCCCTGGAAAACGGACGAAAACGGAGCGAATGCTAGGAACAAACCATGGAAAATCCCTTGGAAAATGGAGGAAACCGGAGCGAATGCTAGGCGCAAACCATGACGATGCAGTAAACATGCTGGAAAAAATACAGTGAAAGTGCAGGAAAATGTGATAACAACGAGAGGAAAGGGTGCAAAAAGGATCGGAAAATGAAGGAGTCAGGTAAAACTCTTGGATTAATATTAATATTGAAAAGGTATGAAAATGCAGGAAACCAGAGGAAATGGTGCAAAAACCTATGGAGGAAAGAGGTGAAAATGATAGGAAACATGTAGTAAAAAAAAATGCTGGACAAAACATATTGAAAACCCACGAAGAGGATGTATTGGAAAATACAATGAAACTTGAGGAAGACATGATAACGATCAGAGGAAAATGCTAGGAACAAACCATGCAAAATCTGTTGGAACATGGAGGAAACCGGAGTGAGTGCTAGGAACAAACTATGACGATGCAGTAAACATGTTGGAAAAAGACAGTGAAAGTGCAGGAAAATGCGATAACAACCAGAGGAAATGGTGCAAAAACGATCGGAAAAATCAAGGAGGCGGATAAAACTCTTGGACAAATACATTGAAAATGCAGCAAACCAGAGGAAATGGTGCAAAAAGGAGACGGGTAAAAATCTTGGAAAAATAGATTAAAAATGCATGAATAGACTGAAAACCCACGAAGAGGATATAGAAATTGCAGGAAAACATGATAACAATCAGAGGAAATCGTGCAAAATCCACTGGAAAATGCTGGAAAGATACAGTGAAGGAAAATGTGCTAACAACCTGGCAGGAAAATGTGATAACAACCAGAATAAAGGGTGCAAAATCTGTTGGAACATGGAGGAAACCGGAGCGACTGCTAGGAACAAACGACGATGCAGTAAACATGCTGGAAAAATACAGTGAAAGTGCAGGAAAATGCGATAACAACCAGAGGAAATGGTGCAAAAACGATCGGAAACTGAAGGAGACGGGTAAAACTCTTGGAAAAATATATTGAAAATGCATGAAATGCAGGAAACGAGAGGAAATGGTACAAAAAACCATAGAGGAAAGCGGTGAAAATGGTAGGAAGCATGTAATAAAAAAAGCTGGACAAAACACAGTGAAAATCTACAAAAGAGAAGAAAGTAACCACAGGAAACGGTAGAAAAAGCAGTGGAAACTGGAAGAAAAGTTGTGACAATATTAGGAAAACGGTGTACAAGCTAGGAAATGCTTGTAACAACTAGCGGAAACGATGTAGAAAACAGTACAACATGGAGGACACGCGTGAACATGCTAGGAGGCATGTAACATGTTAGAAAAATACAGTGAAAACCTAGGAACATGTTATAACTAAAAATGCTTTTAAAATATAGTGAAAACCAAGACAATGTTAACGAGCGGAAACGTTGAGCAGGAAATCCGATTTGGTTTCTGTAGATAATGTTAGATGATGAGCAATGTAGTTTGGTGATAGGAAATAGTGGCTGACTCGCGTACAAGACATTGCCATGAAACCTTGGAGCAAGATGCGGATGGTATAGGAAAAAAGATGTATGAGTTGTAAGATTTTAAGAGTTGCATGGGAAAATTGGTTTCATGGTAATCTGTGTGAAGTTAGAAAAGTGTGATTTCGTTCACAGAGTAAGAAAAATAAATACAATCTGCAGATTCGAGTATTTATAATGCTTAAAGCTGTTTGACGTTTTTTGGTGCCTCCCTGATTCTGGTAGTTTTGTGATAAGAACTACAAAAACGATCTACTGGTAAACGGAAGGAATAGTCTTTCCGGTTTAGAACTGAGTCGACTGTCAAGTGATGCATAGGCTCCAGGCCTCTGGTTATTGTCACAAAGCATTGGAATGAAGATTGCGCCCAGGAGCCACCTAGGTTAGGAGACAAATGCTGTAATATCATTGTAAGAGGCCGTACTGAGAAGGCTGAAACAGAACTAAAAGTGAATCTTGTACTAAAACATTGAGAAAGAATTTGAATCTTCTAATGGCAATGACGGGAATGATATGCATCTGTACGTCCGTGATAGTATGTGTGCCTTTTGAAAGGGATGTTTGGCGAGTGTGATAGCTGAGAAGATTTTCCGGGATGCCAAACAATTATCTCTATCGATGTCAGGGATGATGCTATTCCGCGACATTTCCTGTAAAATACCTATTTTCCAGACCCTTGGGGGGTGGGGGGGGGTACCCAGGTCTGTAAATGGCCTAAATATATATACTTTTGATTTGGACTGCATGTTCGCCACTGTTCTATATTTCCCGTGGGTTTTGCATTGTTTTCCTCGATTTTCATTCGTTCTTATACCCTTTCTTACGTATGTTATAATATTGTCTTGGGTTTGCACTGCCCATTTTGCGAGTAGAGCTATGTTTTGATTTCTCACCGTACGGCCAAAATGTTGCGGAACTTCGCGGAGAAGCATGGACCACGATTCTGGGGAGAAAACAATTTAGACTGTGAGAGGTCACATGACCACTGTTCACACAAAAAAGCGGGTATTATTTATCTACAATAGGTGGGAGCAAACTTGCGCTGTTTTAAGATAAATGAGCAACCAAAGGCGGATTTACGGAACTTGAGATAGAACTTTTCACAATGCCGCAGTACATTGTAGGAAACATATTTGGATATAGAAGTTACAAAATCGTGGAGTTTACCCTAAAAAGGTCCATTTAATGATTGGAAAATTATGACCCGATAGCAATTGTTGATGTTGGGGCGCTTCATGTTTGAGCCATGCCATATGGATGAGGTGGAGTTTCACGCGCCCCCGCGAGAGTCAAAAAGCAAGCGCTGGCTTTCGTTCCACCCCTTCTCAGGTACAGATAATTATAGAATATTACAGATATATAGAGTATTATAGAGTATATTTTGGATACTTTGGGTGCCACGTGACTCAGCCTGTGAGAGGTGGTAGCGAGACGTGGTGGACCAGGAGGGCCGGAGGTGTTTGCAGTGCATTTGGAACAGGTCGGACCCCCAAGACCGTCCCGGACCCCGGGGCATGTTTTCCATGACTTCCTGTGTGTGATTGCCAACCTGCTTCTGGAATGGAAGAATTTCAACCTGCAAGTATGCTGCCGCAATTCTTGACGTGAGATTCCGGGTAGTTTCATGGAGTCGAGGCTCAAAAATCGGGCCTCACTGTGCCTCTGAAACTCGTGGTGTCGAACACTCAGCTTTCCTGCGCCTGACATGCACTCAGAGACATTTGCATCGTGTTGCATGGTCTGTGGTTTAGGTGTGTTCTTTATCATGTTTTATTTACATTAATTTACATATTTCCTATTGGACCAACTGTGCTTGTGGCCGAGCGCTTCAGGTTACAAGCCAACAGCAAAGGTCTCATTGAAGGTCTTGCAGCTCTCCACCAGTCGTTGGGCGTTGAAATTGTGAAGGCCTTCTGCATAGCTGGGTCAAAAATGTTGGAATGCTGAAACAAAATCACAAGATGTATAAAGTGGCCCAGCTAATTGGCCCATGTGTATCCTTCTTAAAACACATCTCTCTCCCTCTCTAAGCATATGTCAAATGGATGCAAAATTTAAATGTGCTCAATTACGGCTGACCCTATTTTTGAACTGTGCTCGACTGTCTTGATCGTTTTCTTGAATGATTGGACGCTCTTCGGCGAGGCGATTCCTGAATCTGCTGGCGGTGGCAAAGAGGAAGCAGACGCACAGCTGCATTTTGGATGGATGGCGGTCAGTTGATTGGTTGGCCCCTCACAACCTGGCGCAGAAAAGTAGACTAAGTAGACAAGCTATCGAGAAGAATGGAATAGACTCAGTATGACAATTTGCTGCAATAATTTGCCTGTATTTTTTGGTGCCACTGAAAGATTCCCAAGCCAACCCAAGTCTCAGTGGCATTGAAGCACAGGTCGATGTCCTGAATCAGGAGGCACGCCTGAAAACTTGCTTTAACATATCGATCACTCGCGATTATACTTTCAAGACTCTGCAGAAGAAAACTTTCACTTGACAGGTGCAGAATCGAACACAGGGCCAGTGCAAGGCTTGTATTTTTCTAAACAGCCCTTCTTTTGGATCCTTTTGGATCCTTTTGGCATTTTTTGGGCCATGTGTTGCTGTTGCCAGCTGAAGTGCATCTCGGGACCCGAGCCATAGGTGCTGGTCGGGACAGCGGTGCCAGATGCCATTCTGGTAGTTGGAAACCAACCAGATCCTATGTTCCTTCTCCAGGCTGATGGCTGGCTGCTGATGGCTGACCAACCAAGTTGGTATATAAATATGGTTATTATTGGTTATTTAAATATGAATATTCGGATATAGTTGGATTATTTGGTGATATTCCATGTCGGTCGATATTGATATGAGTTATATAAATTATATTCATTTTGTTGGTTCTCGGGATGTGCACGACCCTCATGAGCTGTGAGAGATTCATCCTATAGGATCAATGTTTGCAAGTTGATGCGAGGCTGTTGGGCAGCTCGCCTTCAAAGTTCGGCAGAAGAAAGCAGCGTGAAACCTGACTGGAAACTCTGTCTATTTGCCTCTCCACTTCAGCATTGAACCAGGTACATTGTAATTCTGGGCGGTTCTGGACCTGCCAGAAACTCAATCAGAAGCACAGATTGCGGTTGCAGGTAGCACAGCTGTATATCTGTATATTCAAGAACATTTCCAGAGGCCCCGACCGCGGCATGGCAGGCCATGTCTGCGCAAGCTCCACAGTCTCCCTGTCTTTCAGAAACCAGAAAGCAGAAGTTTATGGCCAGAGTTCATGCATGCTTTGACAAATCATTTTGTCATCACAATCCCATTGAAGTTTGTGCCAGTATGTAACTGCCAGTAATGGCTGAACAAGGCATGACCCTCGCTTGAAGCTGGCAATGCAAAAAGCTGCTGTCGTTGTGACCTTAGAAACAGAACTAGCCACATGGTGATATGTTGGCCCTGCGTCTCCAAGGATAGAGCCAAACGTGGACAGTCACTGGGTTGGGAGGCCGATGACTTGACACATTCCTGTTGCAGCAGAAGTGGAAGGAACATGTGCAAGATGCATTTAAGAAACCAAAGCTCCAGATGCTCGAGTTTGCGATGACGGGAACAGAAACAGATCATAAAACAATATAAAACATCCAGAAACCCTGATGGTTGTAGCATCACAATTTGCAGTATCCACTAGGAAGAGATCTGTCCTTGTAGGACTTGCCATCCTTGCTGCAAGACATGCTGGTGGATGGTTTCGGTCCTGAGAAGGCATAGATGAGTAGACATTTGTGTGTTTACTCTTTATCTCTCTGTCCCCCTCCGTGCAGACATTGTACGTACTGAAACGCTGGATTGGATTGGATTGCAACTAGATATTACTAAAGCACACTAAAGCATATTGCATTGCATTTGTAGGTCCTCATAGGTTCGAAGATGTTTTGGCCGCTGCCAGGTGTCCAAGAATTGGCTGCTGAAAGTCAGTAGCCGCAGTAGCCCAGGGCCCAAGAGTTTTCTGTAGAGGCCGACCCGGTCCCAGGCTGTGGATGAAGCGATTTTGAATGCTGCTGACAGCAGATGACCCAGTTCAAGCGTGACAATTCTTGACACAGTGCTTGGAATTTCTTCCAGCATAGATTGTTGATGATGATGATGATGATGTTGATGATGATGATGATGATGATTGTCCGTTTATGTTCATTGCTTTGTTTGTTTGTTTTTAATCCTTGCTTTTGCTGCTTGTGTGGGAAAGAGTCTTGACTTTCAACTGACTGACATTTGAAGGCACAGTTGCATGGCACAAATGTCCAGCACGTTTGTGGGAGTAGACCCACCGGCAGATGAATCCAACCACCAGTCAAGGTTGGGACTTGATGTACGGTCATTTCTTGGCCTTCAGAGAGACCATGGAGGACTGCGCAGACAGACTTGCAAATAACTCAGATGGCTGGTTCTGGTCACGATATTTGGCCATGGCCATTCATAGGTTTACAGGGAGGCTTGGACGACAGTATGCTGTGCTCTACATACTGCATACTTGTAAGTGATTGTTTCTTTTTTTTTGGATTGAGGGAGGCAGGAAAGATTTGGTGAAAGATGGCGAAAGTAGAGCCTATGAAGCAGATTGTTGCAGTTTCGAAACAAACGCATGTGCCACCCTATTGCAATCCCAAGAATATCAGGGGCTTGAAGGATCCAACGAAACCCGTGCCACTTGGTGCTGAAATTCACGGCGTCGAAGTAGGCAGGATCATGTCATTTCATGCAATGTGAACCCCGGATTCAAACAAACTCTGGGCGGTTAAAGTGAATATCATTGACCAATATATATATATATACAACACTGTTTGGAGGTCCCTCAATTCATCACCCAGGGTTTATGAATCCGTGGTCGTTCTGCACTCTGCAATCATCTGCGCGGAGATTGTGCAGGCAAATGGGTAGCTCGTCAGTTCCTCGCATGGCGTGCGCGGCTTAGGAATCTTAGGAACATGTGCAGCTGTGGAATTTGGATCATTTGGATCGCAGTTGCACATCTTGGATTGTTGTTGCTGGAGTGTTACTGGTTTGAAACATTGTTGATGGTAACAGATTGGGCTTTTTTGAGGTTCTGGCACATTGAGCCCGAATAGAAGAGAACTTCTGACACAAGGCGGCTTGGATGTCGAAGAGAAGGACAGGAGACTCACCGAACTCCAGCACAAGCGCGTTGCTTGAGTCTTGTTCTTCGTAATCATTGAGCTGATAGTTTCCAAGCCTGGCAAGCCAAACAAACAGACATATCAGACATAGCGCAACCTACAGAACTCTTACCACTTTTCCAGACAAGAATCCTGCTTCGATAAATTCTGTTGTTTTCCTGCTGGTTACTGTAGAACCAATTGTTCTTCATTGTCCTTCCATAAGTCCAAGGTATACTTTCAAAGCCCTCTGAAAGCATCTTAAAACATCTTTGAACCAAACTTTTCCAAACGCGTTTTTAAAGTCCGCGAGCAAAACGACTTGTGCTGAAGATGCGGCTGAATGGTTCTGCAAACAGGTTTCCAACACTGCGGATTGTTTGACCCCCAAAAAAACAGTGCGGTCACGCCGTGGGTAGCGGCGCTGTTTTTGTTCAGCTTCGCACGCCATGTTTTTTTCTATCTGTGAATCAGCTCCTACGCCACTGCCAGCTAAATATCCAGTCCCAGAACCCGGCATGAGAGCAGACGGGCGAGGGGTGACTGCACTGCAGCGTGCTTCTTTTGCCATATATATGATTATATATGCATGTTTTTTTTTTCAAACATGCAACATGCATGTCTCTTTCAGGCACTGGCTCTTCAGATGATTGCTCATTAACCTTTCTTGCTTACAACTCGACATACGGTTTAGGATAGATAGATAGATAGATAGGTAGATAGATAGATAGATAGGTAGATAGATAGATAGATAATAGCTTTTAGGGGTGACTGACTCTTGTTGGGGTGACCGATTCTTTGTTGCTGACTTTCTGTTTTCCTCCGGGTTCCTTCATCCTTCTCCCAGCTTCCAAGGGGTGACTGACTCTTGGTTGCTGACTCTCTGTCTCCCGTTCATGGTTTCCCTGCATCCTGTGCTAATGGTCACCCGCGACTGACTTTGCCCTATGGGGTTACTGACTCGGACGTTTGGGGCGACTGACTCGGGTGACTGACTCTGTCATTGCCCAACCCGGCATTGATCTTCTTCAACTTTCTTCATATCTTGCCATGCTCTGTCCAGTGTTTGGGTTCCTGCTAGGACTGCCAACTATCAAGAACAGGTTGGCAATTAGCCTGGGAAGTGCAACAACTTAACATCACGAGCGTGTTGAAACATATTATGTTCACAATGTAGATGCAAAGACGGGTCGGAAATTACTTTGGGAAGTGCAACAACGTAACATCAGAAGCATGTTGAAATGTTCATATAGCCTACTGTAGATGAAACAGCGGGTTGGAAAGTACTCTGGGAAACGCAACAACGTAACATCACGGGCGGGTTACAATGTTCATGTCCATAGCGTAGATGCAAAAGCGGGTTAGAGATTACTCTGGGAACTGCAACATCGTGACATCAGAAGCGGGTTGAAATGTTCATATGTTCATAGCGTAGCTGCAAAAGCGGGTTGGAGATTACTCTGGGAACTGCAACATCGTGACATCATGTGACATCAGAAGCGGGTTGACATGTTCATATGTTCATAGCGTAGATGCAAAAGCGGGCTGGAAATTAATTAACTCTGGGAACTGCAACAACGCAACATCAGAAGCGGGTTGAAATGTTCATATGTTCATAGCTTAGATGCAAAAGCGGGTTGGAAATTACTCTGGGAACTGCAACATCATAACATCAGAAGCGCGTTGAAATGTTCATATGTTCATAGGGAAATGCAAAACAATATCATCAAATAACGCAAACTATTAGATAATATTATATATCACCGTTATATACCGTTATTAGCCCACCCCGCCCCACCGCACCCGATGCAAAAGTTACCATGAACAGAAATAAAAGCGTCATCAACATCTTTCAAACACACAAAAAAAGACGCTAAATTCCTCAGCGCCGCTATCGATGACTTGAACATAAACAAACGATTGCAATTTATGATCCGATTCCAAAAAAAGGCAAACACCGAGTGCCAGTTCAATCTGCAAAATTGTTTTGCGAATGAGTCAACAATTCATGCCACATTGGTGTTTGCGACAATGCGTTTGTCGATTTTCTCGCGGGCATTTATTACAGTAAGTTGTAGTATTCGCTTGCAGAGTACCGGCGGTCGTATAGACAAACTCAACATTAGTTCAGCAGATTTGCGCAGATCTTGGTTGAATGTGTTGCAGGACTCACAGAGTTTTGCACAAGGTTTAGCCGAGTTTGAGCAGCATGTCCAGGACGCATTACTGCATGATGGCAGTGTGTGGCTGTGTATGGTTTTGATGTTAGTTCCAGACCCTTTCAAACTGTGTTCTGGCTGTGAGGACAGGCATGGAAATCCCTACGCACTTAACTCAGCCTGAGAAGTTGCAGTCTTGAGATTGACGTCTCTTCAATTTGGAATCGATACACCGAATTAATGAATGCTGCTTGAAGTATTTCCTATTATGTAATAGTATATAAGAATATATAAGATATAATAAAATAAATTCACATGATATGTTACGTGATATGTTCTACAAAACTTGGCTGTGGGCAATGCTTGATTTGATGGTGGGCGAATTTCTCAGGTGCCTCCAGCTTACTTCACACCCAGTGGCTTTCCCCTCGCCGTCAGAAACTTGGGCCCTTTGCCGCACACAACTGTGCCCCACTGCTTTGTTACCTGTGAGGCTTGGTGTATCAAGCAGCGTGCCCCAGACTCAGAGCTTGCACGAGCAGCATGACTAGGAATTTGGATATATTTGGATATATTTGGATTGATGACTCATTGATGAAAAGGAGTTTGAACTCAGGCAAAACCTTTCAAACAGAACGAATGCATTCTGGATCTGGACAGATGTGGACAGAGAATGTGCACAAAGGCAGATTGGCGTCGTGGCCTTTTGAGCGTGGAACGTCAGTACATGCCAGAGCCCCAGAGCCCCAGAGCCAGCCTCGGTGCAGTGATTTTCCATCGCTTACAACGGTGCTTCAGCCAAATGATGAATGTTGATGGTTTCTTGGCTTGTGTGCGCGAAGCTAGTCACAAACCCTGCACATGTTGCTAAGCTAGAAAGTGTCGACGCTCTTGTATTTTATTGTTTTTTTTTTGCAGGCATGTAGACAACAAATACATCAACTTAGCGACGTTCTTGAGAGTGACAGCACTGACTAAACCTACTGATTTTTGGGACATGCCATATCAATCCATATCAGTTGTATCCACGACACCAGCCTTTGTGAATTGATGTATATTATTATATTATATATTTTATATTATATAATGTGTATATATATAATATATATATATAATATATACATGGTGTATAGATCAAAGATATACATGAGTAACAAAAAGGCTCATTGCTTGCTGCTGAACAGAACCCATCTAGAAAGTCATGCAAATTGAGGGCCAACCAAGACAAGAATCTTGCAGATTGGTTGTTTCTTGGGTTCCCAACACAGTCGAGTTGGTCGAGTTGAGGCTTGATGCCGTTGGTTTTTCACCAGTGGCCCATCCAGATGATGTGGCAGTGCGAGAGGAAACCAGGGCGGTGGAAGCAATTTTGCGAAGTGGCCAGCTTTTCCCACAGAAGCGCCGGAATCGCATCTTTGCAGTGGGGGGCCTCAGGGACGTTGCTGTGAAACCTGCAAGGCGAGTTTAGTGAAGCCATGCAGCCGGAAGACTCCGCAGGATCTTTTGAAGAGATATCATCCTGATTCTATGGCAAGACTTGTGAGAAGAACAAACAAGGCTGGCCTGAAAGATCCTGAAACCGGAGTCATCCGGAGTCTATCAAAGTCTGTCAAACCATGCAAAGATGTATCCCTGAGAGGCAGCGCTTGATCAGGTGGTTCAATTTCTGGCTGGATATCGCAAATGACTCAGTGTTTCTCCAAGTGTGTGCATTGGATATGTTTGCCACTGATTTGAATGCATTGATTATATTGATTCGATTTGCTCATGCTGTCCATAGCTGATGGAAGAGTTGTGGGAAATGTGGCCGTTTGCGAAACATGGGAGGGCATGAGCATTGAGCCGCAAGTGTGCAGATATGATAGATATGACAGAATGCGTATCGTTATCCCCTCATGTTGAAAGATGGTATCAAAAACCGGGTGCCAGCCTGCAAGTTTGAACCCCTGGTGCTTTAAGGTGTTCAATGTGAACGCTACATCAACTAGAGTTGAGACGGGGACTAGGTATTTGTATTGAATGGAAAGATCTATACTACATAGTGAATATTTGCCATTAAAAATCCAAAGTGTCTTAGACATTGCCATCCATTGACACTTTCTTTTGCTATGGCTCGCTGAGCAGCTTATTCCCGCGCCAATCTCAGCCTGGTGACACTTACAGTAGTTTGGCGACATGATTCATCATCATTGCAAAATGTCAGCCTTCAAAGGTATTAGTTGAGATGAACATCGACGACTCGGATCTGGATGTTGCACAGCAAAAGAGTCCTTACAGTCCAAAGAGTCCTTACAGTCCAAAGAGTCCTTGCAGTCCTAGAAAGTTCTCTCTACCAGGCAGGGATAGGCAGGGGAAGTTCCCCCTGGTGTTGTTTCAAGAGGGGGGTCGCGTCAGGCAGCGCTTGGAATCGTTTCCGTGCAGCTGGAGTGATTGGGATTTTTCTTTTCGCTGTGCCGCTGGTGCTTCTGGGCCTTTTGCACCAACCTGAGGAACACTGAGACGAAAATGCTGACTCACAGAGATCACAAATTTGCGGGATGGACATCCTGTAAGATGTGCTGATTGAAATATATTGAAATCACCGAAGAATCTCTTTTTATCGATGACCATCCCGCAATTCAATTTCTGGCTGATTTCCGTGGCATTTTGTTGTAGTCTAGTGCCCTACTTGCTTGTACTTCCCAATTCACTGTGTTTCCCAGCGGTTTAAGCTTCATGAAACTTTGAAGAAATCGTAAATTTTTTTGGTCTTTGCAGCAGCCAAGGTCAGTGTCAAACAAGCAATCAGAGTTTGATATCTCCAACGACCAGGTGCAGATGTTTTGAGGATTCTGGATGTTTGGGCCAGTTTGGATGTGGGGTCAGATGGATCAGATGGGTCAGCTGCTGAAATCTGTCAGGCTGCAGTCATGCCCGCAGCAAAATGCTTTGTGAGGCCGGACTTTTGATGGTCGGGGATGGTTCAGTGTAGCTAAGTGTATCGTGATATTTATATTCATTTGGGTATGGGTCAAAATTAGGTACCCCAATAATTGGATGGTTAATACTAAACTAGACTAACATCTGTGGTCCCCTAGGTCTTCCATTTTGACCCACATCCATTTATTGAAATCATTTTGAATCTATAGTGAATGTAGACAACATGGTAGCTGTAGCTATTTACATCATGTTGCAAATTGTAGGCATGTTGATGCATGCTCATTTGCACATGCATATGGAAGTGGGCTGGATGCGCTGCAAATGGGGTACATCTCGCTGTGTCTCAGCTCATTTTATGGTCATTTCAAATGGGAAGGCCAACCTACGGGACTGATGCTGTTCAGATCTTCAAGGATATCAGTAGGGCACCCAGATGCTATTTTTGTGACACTGCTTCGAGAAGCTTCGATCAGAAATTTCCGGGCAAAATGCCAAGGATATGGGCAGGCTGTCAACCCATACTCTGGCCTGGAGCTCAAATTCTGATCACTTTCCCTGGAACGCAGGAATTTTCACTTCATAGAAGTCAGGGGATCCATGGGGGACCAATGGGGGAGGGACTGCTTCTCTGCTTATCCCAGGCAAGCAGACGGAGCTGTTGCTCGACCTGTACTCCCCGGGCTACGATCCGAGACCTGCTCGACCCGCGGTAGTTCTGCTCCATGGTGGGCCTTGGCCTTAGAGATACACTGGCGATACACCTTTCCAGGGCGCAGCTTGTGCTCATGGTTTTGAGATGTTTAGATAGAAACATATAGAACAATATTCTATATGAATTTGAATTTCTATATTTTCTAGAATATTCTAATGAGATGAGAAAGTCACTGTCGCCAATGAGCTGTGATTGTCACCTTGCTGTCACGATTTCCCTTAGGTATCTAACTGGAGGCCAGTGCGGTGGCACAATGAATCGGTGGGTTCATGTTCGATGAATATTCGGCCGCCTGGTAAGTCCTGAGCGGCAGGTGACAAAACCGGTGATTCAATGCCAGACCTGGCTATCACCCTTGCCCAGCGAGGATATTTAGTGCCTTAGCTGCTGATGTGTTTTATTTAAGTTATTATATGTCATCATGTCGATCTCTGTAATCTGAGGTCGCAAGCATCAACTATCGGCTGGCTCCTGCCTGGCTCATAGCTGTCATGCTTGGATTTTGATGGCGGTGTCGATGTCTCAAAAATCACAAAATCTGCAAAAAAATGCAGTTGCTCAAAATTACAATGAGAATATTTGTGAATTTCATGAATTTCATAGAAATGCAAAATTTGGATCATGCCCAAATGCATTGAACATTTCCGCTTGATCTCCTTTTGTCCATGAAGCTTCCGTAACTGCCCCAGGTGTCAGCTATCTCATTTCAGCTGCTACATTCGCACCCTGATCGGGCACAGCATATTGCCAGAACCTTGGATACCGATACCTGGGGTTACACACTTGCAACCAGATCCAACGAGATCCAGCCAGAGGTGGAAATGGTCCAAGAGGATGCAAAAGCAGCTGTACGTTTCATGCGAATGATGGCGAAGGCGTTCCGTCCGGTCAACATGCACTGTGTGGAGAAGTGCCAGAAGGTTTTTGGATGTTTTTGGAAACTATTATTTGATGATATTTGATGTTTCTTGTAAAGTCATAGAAAAATTGCAAAACAAAAGTCAGAAAGAACGATCGGATGGTCTTGACACCGTCCAAAGCAGGACGCAACCGAGGAAATAGTTGAATTCGAACAACTTGGAACTCTGGACTTTTTTATCCTCCGTGCTACCGGTAATTTTTTTTCCTGTGACTCCACTTCGGCGAATAAAAATGCCAAGTCAGGTAAAAATCATCAAAAAATGGATGTCGCAAGGTTGGGGTTCAGGAAAACAAATGTTGGAGCCAGGAAAGCAGGATTAGTAACATAAGGTTGTACCACAGGATTTTATATGTTTCGAAGATTTGCTTGCCAGGATTGCATGGTTTTCCAAACAAGGTTGGGGTACAGGAAAAAAATCTCTGGGCCAATCTGTCGAACAGGAGAGGGTAGGATCTACATAAAGGTTGTGATCATACTTTTTAATGCATTTCAGTGGTTTGTAAAAAGGTTGAATCCGATAGCTTCACTGGATTTTAATTTTGAACAGTTATGAACTCCGTATGGTTTTCTTCAACAATATCCTCCTCTGTACTACCAGTTTTTTTTTTCCTGGGGGTTCAGTACGCTTTTTAAAAAACACTATTTTCCAAAAATCTAGCAGACAGTGGGTGAGGGTCCAGGGGCATGATACGGGGCCAGGAATCAAATATCATACCAAAAAAGGCCCAGTTTTTTTTTCCTAAAAGCTTCCTGACGTACAGTGGCAGGAAATCAATTTCTGTCTGTTGTGATTGAGGGGGTTGATCTATCAGTCTGTGTATGTAAGGCATCAGGAAATCAATCATGAATGACTCTGATAATGGGTAAGTTTGTAGAATTCCCAAGGTTAGTAGCCAGGAATTTGAAGGTGGATGGATCAAATGGGAGTTTACTAGAACATATCTAAATGTCAAACCCCAGGAAAAAATGTACCATGATTACTTGAGGGGGTATGATTCTTTACATGACTTTGCAAAAGGGTACAAACACATATGTTCACCTTCACCAACCAAAAAAAGTGACTTCAAGAGGCCAAGGCGCAGGGGTCAAAAATAAAATCCAGGAAATATTTTTTTACTTGGATATGAGAGGGGTAAATTTATTGGATGTTGGACGTTGGGCACCACGAAATTAGCAAAGAAAATTCAAAAAGGTGGTTGGAAGTGAGATTTCGGCTTCAGAGGTTAGGAGCCAGGAATTTAAAGCTCTAAAACCTCTCTCAAAGGTTAGGGGTCATCATTTTAGACCGATTTTTTTTCTAGGACTGTACCCCACGTTTTTGTACCGACGGGGATCAACAATCATGTAGAGAGGACACATCATTTCTGGTCATTTCCAACAGAGAGAGAGAGAGAGAAACAGTTCTGGACCTCCAAAGCCTAGTGTCATCCATCTCCCCGTCTTGAAAGATCTTGACAGCATGCGAGCAAAAAAATGATGGAGCCGGTGGAAACCCTGTGACCCAGGATTTGAATTATATGACAAGAAAAGTGTTTATGCCAAACCCTCAGCAGTTTTTGAAAGGTCGTGATCTTCCAATTCAATCGACTTGACGATCTGAATGGGGTAGGTACACATGTATCATCATAAAGGTTATGACCCAGGAAAAGAGTTGTGTCAGCACAATGGTGGGCCAGGAGACATGTTAGTCCACATAAAGGTTGTGGAACAGGATTTTAATTTGTTTGCCCGGGAAATTGCAACTTGGTTGTTGGCTTAAATCTGTTGGGTTGTACCCTTTGGAAATCAATTCCAAAAGGTTGTGGACCAAACGATTTAAGGCATTTTTTTCCAGGACTAGACCCTTTTGAGCGGTACCACGGGCTATCTTTTTTTGGGGGGGGCCGGAACTACTACTACTTCACGTCAAAGTATAATAGTTCGCAGCCCGGGAGGAATGGCGGATTGACGTGAATCGCATTGTGATTGGAGGCACTGTGGATATGAAGAGATCATTTTGCAGTGAACAGAAGGAAGTTACCCCTTTACTTCCCCTTCCAAAAAGAGTGGGAGGCATAGTTCAGCAATCAAAGTGGGTGTAGAGTGTACAAACATCAGAAACGGAAAGACTCTGTCTCCATCCATCTTCTATGCCGACATTGCAAGGCGATTCCGCTGGTGCCATCGCAGCCCTCTACTATGCGTGCCCAGACATGTTGCTTGGGTGATATTTTACCAAGCTGCCAGTGGCTGAAGGTTGGCAGTGACCATTCTTGGATCAGGTACGTCAGTGGCGCCCCAGAAGGAAATAGTGGCAACGCAGGATACTCCTCGGCCATTCATTCCGTGCTGGCCATCAGTGGGACTTTACGTGGACAAGCGTGCTTTGGATGTGAATTCAGAGCCGGAAAAAGAAAGGCGATGACCTGCAATGATATTCCCAAATATTCTAGAAGGGCAAGAGGGGTAAAAGTCCGTCTACACAAATTTGAGTCTCTTGAAGTTTGTCTTGGCACACTTCATTCATACTGTAGTATCCCAATGTATCCCAGACATTCCAAGATACGAAGCCGAGGTTTTGTGGTACAATTGATCGGGAGCTCCGGGCGCACAATTGCAAAATCCGCTCGCCTCCAGCGCCGGATGTCGTTTCACAGGTCTGGCGGTCTGGCCATGGGCCAAAAATGGGGGATTTACAGCAAGAGATTGCCCATTGTAAGGATGGCAACATGATGATGTGATAATCAATCATTGATAATGAGGGGATAACCAGGGGCATACCCCATTTTCAGACAAACGTGGCAAACCAGACAAGCAGTGTTTGACATTTTTGTGCAAGAATTCGCCAGATATCTCGTGGAGACGTGCCCATGCTGCTATGGCATGGAGAAAAGGACAAACATTGCATTTCTGTCTTTGTTTGGGGCAGGGGAGAGGGAGTGTGATGCATTCCTAGCTTGCAATGGACTTACAAATATCGGCCACGCGAGGATCAGATTTTACCCATTGACAATGCTCGTGCCCTGTGGGAGAGAGCAAAGGCCAGCGACTGAAAACGGTGCAGTTGTCAACTAGCCGAACAAATCAATACCTTCTGTTTGAGGCTGTGGGCGTGCCAAGCTTTGTCTTGGCGATTCACAACGGTGGTCATGTGCCAATTTACGAAGGCGCTGTGGACTGCTCTACGTTTGACAATATGTTTGATCACCTTGTCAAGATTCAAAAGGCTTGGCATGCCAGGCTTGGACCCAACGAAGCCATATCTTGAAAAATGGTTAAGTTTTGTGGCAGGCTGCTGCCTTAGTGCCTGAGGGGCCTGAGTAGCCCAGATGTGAAGTGAAGTGACTCACATAGGTCTGTCACACCTGTCGCTCGCATTCAGCTCCAGGTTCTCTCAACCTGACTGAAGCACAGTGCGCGCTGCCTTAGCTTCTTCAGTTCTTTTGGACTCCCATTGTGATTGTCCATCCATATGCTTGGACAAGGCCCATTCTCCCAAGCAGGCCAGGACACGGGGAGAGGGGCACAGAGACAGATTTACAGGGCACATCTGCAAGCACAGTTGGAATCATTGCGCCGTGGAGTGCAAGGCACACTCGAAGTGGCGGCTAAGTAAGTTGTATAGAAAGGTTGGTCCACGACGGCTCTACCTTTAATTTGGTTTCACCTTAAACTAGGCATTTGCATGCTTTCCTGCAACAACGGGCAGAAAATGGCCTGTTTGTTTTCAGGGGATTGAGTTGAGCAACGCACAAGTCTGTGCCATCGTTCAAAGCGGCAGAAATGCCTGAAGTGATAGTTCAAACGCTATTTTACGATTCTGGCAAATGCTTGTCAACCTGAGTTGCTTATGCAAAGGAGGCTGAAAAAGACATAGTTGGCAGTCAAAAGTCAAAGGACACAACAAGGAATGCAAGTATTTGCTGTAGTTTGTATTGCGTTAAGGCCCGCCAGATTGCGACATAGAGGTTGAACATTGTGACGAGATTGAGTGGTTAAACTCTGATTAGATATGTATTCTCAAGGATTTGATAGGGAGCTTTAGAAGATGATGTCAGGATACCGGTATAGCCGCCTATCCAGCGGGCTGAGGTGATTGGTTCCTGAATCCACCTCGTCCTCCTGCAAAGGCAGGATATGTCTTCCACATCAAAAGAATTCAAAAGACTTTATGCCTTAAGCTGCCTCAAGGTTGAAGACTTGTTCACTGAATAGTAACACAGGTTGAAGAAATTGACAGCAAGCTCATCGGTTTCGACATGGATTGAGCCCCTGCCTCAATGACTTGACAGCCGTTGAGGGGAAGCGTTTCACCCCTTGAATTGCAACCTGTTGTGTTTCTCTTGTGAGTTGATGTAAGTTCAGAGAGTTTACGAGTGGCCTTCAGAACTTCAGTATGTGATTCTGTGACTTTAAACGAAAAATCGGAGATGACGGGCTCATATGCTACCATCTGGCACTGGATTTGTAGGTCGTAGACATGTAAACCCTAAAGCAAGACCAGCTTTTCCAAGGAAAAGGGGGACAGGGGAGTTAGCTGGGAAGCTGTGCTCTTGAACTGAACTGCAGTTGCATCGAACTACAGACTGACTTATTGATGCTGTTACCGTACTGCCATTTTCTATTGGTTTGAGAACACATACCTTTGATAAATCCTTTGATTACAATTAGTACCGACCAATGGCCTACACGGGCCCTACACAGCTTAGCATTCGACATGTCTCAAGTGTTCTTTTCTTGCTGTCCACAGGGGCCGATTCAAGCTGCTGCGCACAGCTCACCAAAACCAGCCGCTTTCAGCTGAAAAATGATCCACATGACCGTCACAGCTGTGATGCCTCTTGGCGTTTCCATGCGTTTCCCAAGAGGCATCCCCAACTCCAACACCCTGCGCAGTTTGAAGAACGAATTCCTATTGCCTGGCAGAGAAGTAGAAGAGCCGCCAGAGCCCTTCAGAGTGGTCATTCTATTGAAAGTTTGGGATAGCAGCAATTCATGATCTATTATGAATATAAATAAACACACATATATATATATTTATACGTATATATTAATATAAATAAACATATACAAATATATATATATATATATAAATAAATATATATATATACATATATATATATAAGTATATATAAGTATATATATACATATATATATGTTTATATATATATGTTTATATATATATGTATATATATATATGTTTATATATATACATAAATATAAATATATTTAAATCTATATATAAATATATCTAAATATTTATAGATATTTCTAAATAAATATATAAATATCTATGTGTGATTTACATGTTTTTATTTTTTCCTGGTTCTGAGGCATTTTATGAAATTCCACAAGGAGAGACAGGGCGTGCATGAGACCCCAGTGAATCCGACTGGTGAATCAGTCGTCCTTGTCACTTGTGGCTGGGCCGCCGGGCCCACTGAGGTGGATCATCTCTCGGTAGCCGCAAACGACAAGAAACCGACCACTGCGAATTCCTGGTCGTCCAAGTTCATACCTCAGATACCTCAGCTATCCGGTGGTTAGAAGCGAGCGGTGCGGAGCTATGAGCATCTATGAGCTATGGGTATCCATATTGCCCAATGAAGGGCCAAGGAGCTACGAATAGAGTTGTCCAACCATGTCCAACCACATGATAGTCAGTCCAACTGGATTTGCAAGTTCTATGATGATGTGCCGCTTGAACCTTTCAAGGATTTCAAGGTACCGTGTTTGTTGAAACTCCGCGCTTTGGCTGGTTGCCAACAGCAAACTCACGATAAGCGGTGGGTGCTGAGGAATGATGCACATACCGCAGGAGATAAGGTGTGTGGCCGAGACAAACCTGTACACACCTATGGCCTATGATTCATCATGATTCCATGTGATGGCTTTCTGTACACCGCATTATCCTTTTCTTGCAGCTGGTTCAATGCAAGCCAAAACAAAGTTTGTTATCAGCATACTTCCTGCGGCCATATCTTCATTGTATGCTAACGATGATATTTGCCAAGATCTATTCGCGCACGAATGTTGAAGTGTGAATGTTTTGTGCATTGCTAGTGAATGCTTGCCAGGCTAGGTCAAGCACATCGATGACTTCCGCCTTGTACTTAGTGGAGAACACTCATTGAAAAGAAATGAAAAGAAAATCTTTGATGTTGTGAAGAAAAGTTGCTTCATTGGATGCCAACTGCGGTTGGCTGCCCAGCACAAGGCTGTGGCCTCTGTATCACGACCACATTCAGAGGTGGTGCAACAACTAGAACTTGGCGTTGCTTTGAACGCTTTGAACGCTTGATCTCAAGGTGTCCTTTCCACGAATGGATTTCTTCGAGGAGCACCCCGAGAGCTGTACTCAGTTTCCTTCATTCCTTGATTATGTGTGGATTGGCACGGCATATTCAATATATTTCAATATGTATTGCGATGGCTTTGAAATATAGATCCACCGATGATTCGATGATCCACCTATGATCAACCTTTGAGGCGCTCACCTTTGTCTCGCTTTGGCGACTTGAACATCATGAATCCGAATCCTTTCTCAAGTGCGCCGGCGTGAAGTATGTCTTGACTTTATTGACTGAAGGTAGCACAATGTAGTGAATGTGCTTTATCATGTTGGTGAGAATGACTGAAGCGTTGGCAACAGCGCAGGTGAAGCCAGATATCGCATGGCAAGGACACTGCCATCTTTTGGACAGGCTGACATGCACTTGCACCCTGAGGGGTTGGCAGCCTGCAAGTTTATTTATTGCAGATCCCTCACATTGAATGATGTACAACTTTAAAAATGGGCCGAATACAGCAGAGAAAAATGCAGAGGACATGCCAAGAATATGAATGCGAATCAAGAGTCTGTCAGCAGGGTGGTTCATCAAGCATGCCACAACTTCGTCAGATTACTGCGTCGGATACTCAGCAGGGTTCCGGAGTGGTTGTTGCAGCCGCTGTTAAACAATGCAGTTGGCACTACTGGTACAGTTGACCCCTAAGGACTCCGGCCTCTGCAGATTCCATGAGTAAGAAGGAGCCATTTGAAATTGCATGGACTTCAAACCACAACAAAAACAGATACAGACATACTAATAGTACTAGAACTAGACATACTAGAACTAGGCTGTCCACTGTTTGTGGAGTCACTGTGGAGATGTGACATTGATTCTCAATGCCTTCTGCCATTTGGCAGAACAGCAGGAGACCCGGGAAGGCTGGGACTGGGACTGGGGCTGCTTGTCATGTACGCCACATGGCACCGAGCCAGGTCCTGCCTGGGGCTTTTGGCTTAGAACAGGCTGGGAATTTGTATTTTTGGAGATTTTTGGTAACCTTGAAAAAGACAAGAAACATATAGGAAAATCGGAAAGATAGTGTGAAAATTGCAACATACTTTAGCAGGTGTCTTCTCTTCCTAGCAGGTTCACGTGCCAAGATCGCAGATAAGCCTCGATCTGGGATTTCTGGAAAAGGCACCAGAGGCTGGAAATGAATCTCTGATGGACTCATGCCACAGATTGCAAATGAGTACTGTACTGTAAATTCATGCGTAAGTTTCATTGTGTCCTCGTCACATTCACATACAGCTAGACTAGCTAAACTCAACATGTCTCACTATGCCTCCCCCTATTGGTTCAGTTGTTTCTTGTCCTTCAATCAGAATCATGTTACAATGCCAGGCTGGCAAGGTGTAGAACCAGACATGTAGGGAGCCTATCAGCACAGATCTGGACCCGAACACAACCTTGGTTTGCTTGATACCCAAGAATTCGAACAACTACTGTATCCACAATATTCTGTATTTCATAATAATGGCCACCGTTGATTAATAGATTGATTCTGTTATTCAAGAGTTGTTATGAGGTCATTCCTCTCGTTTTCTATTCCGATCCAGTGCGAAACAATTGCACGTTTGCTGAGGTACTACAAACAGCTCCTAGATGAGGAGAAGCTGAATCTGTGCGACCAGCTGTTGTAATTTTACTTTTGTCGATTTCTTGAAATTAGATGTGTCAACGGGCAAATCCTGATTGCAAGGTACGGGGCTGGAAGCCCCCACTTGTGGCCGTTGGGGCATGAGATGGAGTGCGCTTCTGCCCTTACAGATTCCATCAGTGAGTCAGTGTTGAGTGACAATAATGGCAGTTGCATGCATTTGCATCCCAGAGATGTTTGCAAGTTGTAGAACCACGGCAATCTGGCTGCAAATCAGGTACGAATGTCGCTTTGGTGATATGATACTTTGTAGCAAAGTGCGAGAGGCCTATGAGGCAACGCAATGCCTTTGCGCAAGTTGAAACTGAAATGCTGAAATGCTGAAATGTCATGAAGTCTTCCAATATCTTCCAATATTGCAATGAAATGAGTTGCTTCGTGTTGCCTCCATTTGCCTCCTGGAGGTCGGCTTTCGTGGCAAAAAGCGTGACAAGCCGACAGACATGGAGAAGTTGCTGGGTGGGACAGGCTCTGGACATGGTCTCCATCGGTCTCCCTGCCATGTCATGCCATGTCCATGTCCCTTGTGAGGCGATGCAGCCAGGGTTCGCAGGATTGCCAAGGTGGAACAGGTCGGGAAATCTATGGAAATTTTCCAAAATCTGAGAAAGGCATACGACCATATGGATCCATATGGGTCCATATAAGATGACCTGAGATGTCAAACTGACCAAAGTACACAAGGCTTTGGAAGTGTCTGGTGGCATTATTTTCCTGGCTTAGCTGGGCGGAGATTTTGCTGTGCACAGGTCAGTTGTGACAACTGCGGATTACATTTAGCAGATGCCGACAAGCCAGGACATTCGTTGCTAGATCCTGACTTATACTGAATTGTCAATTGTTCTGCCAGTACCAGACTTCAATACATCTTCAATCTTCAATCTTCAATATGATTTCCAGCAGGCCTTTTTTTGTGTTTGACAGGAGGGAGATTCTTCTACTACTGCAGGCAATGCAAGAGGAGCGGTCGAAGGCCGCAGTCCGCGACCATTGTGTGCCGCCCACGTGTCCAGCCGCCTTAGCAACTGCTGGCAGTTGCTGCAGGTTTGAGCTGTGTGTGGCTTGCCACGTCTTGGAGATTCTGCAAGGTGAAGGAGATCCCCAGAAGTTTATTCTCAGATTTTCTCAGATATGGATCATGGATATGGATTCATGACCTTGCAACAGAGCTGGTGGCTCATGTTGCAGGAAAACATAGCGGTGTTGGCTTCCACCCTCACTACTTGAAGTGCAAGCGTGGGCCTTGCCTGCCGCAGTTGATTCACTGAAACTCTGTGTGTAGCTGAGTAGTAGACTAAATGGATACCATTGGAAAGCCTTTGGAACATCCAAAGGTGGCTTTTCCAAGGCACAGAAGTTTGATTCGAAGACAGAGCTTGGAGAATGCCTATCCAAGTTTAGGGCCCAGAAGTGGAGTGCGTGGAGGGGTCTCTGCACAGCAACTGCCAAGCGGCAGAAATAGCTGCAGGTTCTCCTCATTTGCATCGGGTTCTGTGTGATTTGTGCGGCTCTGTGGTCGTTGGAAGAGGCGCCAGCCTTTGAAGATGTTGAAGCACCTACCAAGAGTGTGATTTTGTTTTTGTAATTTGTAACCCAGTTAGTCCTCCAACTGCTCACAGGTGCTTCGGACAAGAGCAGCAAGCAAGAAGAAGGCGCAATGTGATTGCGCAACTGCTTTGCAAGATATGCTCAAGGGTTCCGAGCTGTGGTGCGCATTTCAAGACTCAGATTTTGTTCAGGCTATTTACGTTTGATAATTTTTAATATGCATTTACAAGGTGTACTATACGGAGTTCAGTCCTACCTTACAGGTGTAGAACTGCTATTGAATCGCCACCCCTGCATCACATCACCAGGAAGCAACAAAAAGGCGCAGGAGTTGAAGACTCAGATGATCCAGATCCATCGCTAGTAATCAGAAGTAGAAACGAATCTCCAAAGGGGGGATACTCCCTTTCATGGCCACTTGAATGTAGAAATATGTAGAATCTGATGATCAATCAGGGGTTTTGCATGGATTTGGGTCCCCATTTTCGGAACTTTTTGGAGCAGCAGCATCCTATCTTTTTTCGTAAAACTTGCTGGAGCCGGAGACCGTGTTATGTCACCTTATGTCACCTTCAATTGCAGTCAATTGCAGTCAGGTTGAAGGGAAACCCTCACCAGCTGATGCCTCAGCGGAGATGGAGACAGGAGTTCGGTTTTGCGGTCCTGTGTTGTCTGTGCCCAGGAAAACCTACATCGTCTCCAATGAGGCTGAGTGTTGTTGCTCACAAGATCTCACCAGTGGGGTAGGGCGGTTAGGGGTTAAAAGTTTTGGGATTTGGGAGCCACATCTGGTGCGATAGAAAGATATAGGAAGTATTGACCATCCCATGTTGGGGTCCATTTTGACCCATGCACGTGGACGGACAGTGCTTGCCCTGCAGTTCTACGCATGTCCGACATGTCCAGAAGTCACTGGACTGCGCTTTGAGCTCTGCGTGCCTTGTCAAAAGAACATCTCGGAAAGCCGGAGCCTGAGGAAAGGATAGACGTCGATAAAACTGATATATAAATCTTTTTGGCTTTTGAGGAAGGCTGAAGATGCTGAAGGAACTTCTTATTTCATGAAAGCTTAAGCCCTTTTACCTTGCCACGTTTCCAATTGTTTGTTCAGCACTCTCGGTAGGAAGTGAATGGGTCAAAGTTCGGTTGTGCCTTCTAGGTGGCCACGGAATACAACGACTTGAAAGCACGCTGTGAGTGGCAATATTGGGTGTCTGAAAACGGGGTATACCGCACCCAATTCATGGCTGTTTTTAGAGGGGAAACGGATGAAAATGGTGACTAACCATCAAATTTGGGGTACCCCATTTTCCGACAAATCCAAATGCATCAAATTCACTTTGCACAGCATCGAATTGTACGGCCAGCATGAATTCGCAGGAGAGAGATTTCATTTGTATGCGGAGAGTGCGTGCTGTTCATTTTAGATTGCCATCCATCCTCAAACATAACCCACTTCGGTGAAAGAACACAGGGCTTCCAACTTGCTTCCACTCGTGCGTTCTATCCAGCACGAAAAAGGTTACAGAGGTATGCCCTCAAGGGAAGCATCCGCGGGCCTTTCATGTGCGAGAAAAGGTGTGTCTCTTGATGTCTTTTGATGTCTTTTGGATCATTTTGTCATGTTGCAATGTGGTGGTCAGAAAACGCTCCGATCACGGGCCAGTTTCCACAAGCTACCCAAGCAGGTCATCGCCGTCCGTGGTTGGCCGAAGCTCTCAGCACAGATTCGCCGAGACAGTGTCAATATGTGTCAATCAACTGGATTGATCAGGATTGGCTCAAAATGGTTGACCCATATTGTCTCTCACCATTGGATGCTTGCAGACAAGAAGAGAAAACAATAGAACAAAAATTCTACCAGTCCACTGATACCGATGATACCAATTGAATTCCAATTGAATCATTTGATCTTCGTGACAATTGAAACTGCAAGGTCAAAATCGTGCCTTGACACCTCCTGGCCGTGGTCCAGCCAAGAGGCAACGACATTCTCCGCCTGCGAGGATATATTTGTTGCTTTCTTGATCTTTGAGTGAATTAAGGAACGCGGAACAAGTGAGATGTTGTTGTTTGATGACCAATAGATGACCTTTGTCCATGTTTTAAGTATTTTTAAGTGTTGAGAAGTGTCATATGTTTTGGGATTTATAACTTCGGGCTTATCTCAAGTTGTTGTGAACAATCCCCTTGTCTAGATGGGACGAGTGACAGGCTGGAGCAGAACAGCAGCACGCCGGTTTTGAGACGAAGCCTTCGCGGATGATCCTGGATGATTCGGATGATCCTCCTTCAGATCCAGGGAGGGATGTGTAGAGATCATGTTTGTAGACGTTTGTAGATGATTGTAGTAGAACTGTAGAGTCTTTCTCCCAGCACAAAGCTTGCTACCCTATCTCTGAACACAAACCATGCCAATGCAGGACTAGTACCTCCGATGTCTCGCGAATGCGAGCATTTAAGCAGAGGTTTTGCTTAAAAAAGCATGAGTTGTGCTACGTCGTTGAAAAACGGGTGAAGGTTGCAGCATACTGCAGCTGATTCACTGATGGGGCACATGTTCATTGAAGAATGAACAGATGGAAGGATAGTGGGAGTCTGAGAGAAAGTCAGGTTTCAGCGAATTGATCAAAGCATAGCATGGCATGTTACCAGAATGAAAGAAGCTGTTGGCACAAAGGAATCCTGCAAAACCCACGTGAAACTGCCACAACAAGGACAAGAAAAAACACAACATAGCCGTGACTGTTTGAAAGACGCAGGTAGTGTTTCAAACCATTTCGAACCTCTTACAAGTAGCATACAAGTAGCCAAACCGCAGGAGTAGACATACATAGACACATGATACTTCAGCACAAGAGGCCACTTCTTGGCCCTTGGCCACAAAAAACATTCCAAGTAAGTCACCACATTGTTGCAGCGACTGCCAGTAACAAGTACGCCTGCCAATCGGCGAAACAAACTGCAGAGTGTAGAGATGGCAGCCTTTCTGCGGTTTTCTTTGCTGTTTTGCATCTATTGCCTCAATGCGATCGATGCTCATATCCAACACTTTGGTAATGTTTGGTGCCAAGCCCAGAGGGGCCATTGTTTTGGTGAGCGACGCAGCTTTCGAGAGAAGGTCCTGCCGACCCTGCAGGGTCAGCGCTACCGGTGCTTGCGATTTGTGGATTGGGATCAGGATGGTGACACAGATGTCTTGGTCGGAGCAGGTCCTGGAGAAACTATTTGGTTCCATGAGCGCCTATCCAATGAGAGTTTCATCCCACATCAGCTCCTGCACCTTCCCAAGAGAGGGCCAGAAATTCCAAAAGGTTACCTTGACTCTTGGCCCGTTGGTAAAAGAGATCAAGTGTGGGATGAATACCTGAATTCCACATTTCGATTCGATGTGGCGGACTGGGACGGCGACTCGAAGAAGATAATTTTCAAACATGTTTTCCAACTGTTTTCTTCACTTCATGTTCCTAGCTCAATTACCAATAGAATTCATGGTCCGCAGAAACTTTTTGAATTGCTTTAAAACTGTTTACAAACACCGGCCGAGGTGATGGAGAGTTGGATTTGTTGCTTTGCACGCTCGTTGACGACTTAGTCAGGGTAAGTGTTCTAGATCACTCCCTTCTGCCTGCTGAAAGCGGAGAAACCGGAGAAGTAATTTTGTTGACCAATGGGTCCGCCTGTGACTTGCTGGCGGTGGACTTTGACGAGGACGGTGACGTGGATGTCATTCTTGGTCGTGACAAGTATCAGCCAACATATTCCAGATACTTTGAGCGTATCTCTGACGGGCAGATTGTTGAGCGGAATGAAAATCAGAATCCGCTGGAATTTTTCGAGGAGGACATAAAAGTCATCGCTGATCTGGACGGCGATGGACAATTAGAGATCATTACAAGTTGGTACAGTGACTTTGGTAATACTCTTCTTACTCAGCGTACTTATTTCCGCGTTTTCCGTCGTGCCCTGGATGGTAGTTTCGTGGAAGCGGTCGACAAACCCTTCTTGAACATGCAATATTTTTCTCACGTCAACGACTATAGATTTGATGTGTTTGTTGCAGATTGGAATTCAGATGGTTTGCCAGATGTTTTGACGGTTTCTGTAAGCCCTATTCATTCTGTTCGTGGCCCACCATCATTCTCATTGGATCGCTGCCTTCAACAGCTTCGCGATCTCGACCTTGTGCGCAACTCTCAAATCAGCACCTACGAGGACATTCAAGGCGAAGACCGCTTGCAAGTCGTTGTCGTAGATTGGAACCATGATGGTCTGGAGGACATACTCACTGTGCAGAACGATCCTGAGGTGTCACGTCTTCGTTTGTATGAATTTCGCGGCGAAGATATGAGGGAAGTGTTTGGTGTCTTTGAAAACATCTCAAACAGCCTTGCAATTGGCTTTGAGCAACGCATGAGTGTAGCTATAGGAGACTGGGACCTTGATGGTGACTTGGACCTCCTCATAGCATCAACGAAAGATAGAAAACTGCATTACCACGAGATGGTTTCTGGTCGTTTCCAGAAAGAGCGTCCGCACCATCCGTTTTCGAACATTCGATTGAACATCACGTATCTGCACTCATACATCTCATACCCCCTGAAATCATGCCTTCCTTCAATGGTTGATTTTGATGGTGATGGCGATATGGATTTGTTCCTGGGTCCGCCAGATGGCAGGTATTTCGAACAGTTGGCAAATGGGACTCTTCGTGAGTATCCCTTGGAACAAAGCCCCGTGAAAAGTGTCCTGATGAAGCAGCCAAGCGAGGGCAATGATGAAGATCTCACCTGGCAGTTTGTCGATTGCGATGATGATGGAGATGCTGATCTAATCAGGTTGGCCCCATGGACGGATCCCCCAGTGCAAGCTTGTGAGCATGATGATTTGTCACATGCATTGCAATGTCGCCCTGATTTTTTGTGCAAAGGAGCCAATCTCAGTCGATTCAACAGGAGTGGCCCACTGGCGCAACTTGGCCCTCCCCGGAATCTGGATTTGGGATTTGTTGCAGATGGCCGTCTCAAGCTGATTGCGCGTCATAGTGGTAACTTAATGCTTTGGAGTTCGGGCTTCTGTGTGCCAGCTGAACCTTGCAACTCAAGAGGTATGTGCCCTCCCAGGCACAATCTGTGTAGTTGCGTTGTGGGTCGTGAACTGCGTGATTGTTCTGGATGCCAACCCAACTTCTACAGCATAAATCCGAAGCTGCGGCACTTGCATGACTGCGAGGCATGTCCTGGTGTGAATGGCCAGGTTTGTTATGGTCGAGGCAGTTGTATGGATGATGTGACAGCGAAAGCACTTGCAACGGAATCCACTGCGGCTTTGATGGCAACGGGCAACGGATCGTGTAGCTGCAATGAGCATCATTTTTTTGGAAGTGACGATCATGGCCGAAGCACCTGCGTTGAGGGTGTTTGCCCAGCTGGCAGTGAAGAGGATGATAATGGAAATTGCAATCCTTGCCCTGCGGGGTCCTTCTCTTCAGCAGGGGGATTTTGTAAGGAATGTGGCCCTGCAACATTTTCTCTGGCAGGAAGTGGCAGCTGCTCAGTTTGTTTGCCAGGCACCTTCTCAAAAGAATCAGGCGCCTCTGCCTGCCAATCATGTGCTCCTGGCACTTATGCAGAGGAAGGCAGCGCCAGATGCACCAGTTGTCCTCCAGGTTCTATATCATCAGTTTCTGGCAGTGGTTCCTGCTCTCAGTGCCCTCAAGGGAAATATGAAGTCGCAAATCAAGTTTGCAGTGATTGTGATGTAGGCACTTATGCAAAAGAGGGCAGTGCCAGATGCAGCCAGTGTCCTCCAGGTTCTGTATCGGATCCGAACGGTGGTTCGTGCGTTCAGTGCGCTCCAGGAAGTGTCTCTTCTGCAGACGCTCTCTATTGCCAGGTGTGTGAAGCCGGGAGATATGAAGTCAGAAACCAAGTTTGCATTGCTTGTCCTTCCGGTTCCATCTCGCCTCCCCAACAAAGGAGCTGCACCACGTGCCCAGCTGGTCGCTTTGCCCAAACTTCCTTGACATGCGAGCCATGTTTTGGTGGAACCTTTGCTCCCAACGGAAGCAGTGCATGCAAGCCTTGTCCCACTGGTCACGTGTCCGGTCCAAATAGCGCAGCCTGCCGAAGCTGTGACAGTCTTCTTATTCAAGCCATTCCAGATCCCACAAAGCAAAGCTGCCAAGTTCCCACCATGGACCTTGTTTTTGCTTTGATCGCCTTGATTACTTCAACATGTCTTGGCGTCCTGGTCTTTACCGGATTGCTTGGTCGAATTCCGATCGCAGACGTGTCTGCGCGAGGCGAAAAGATTGTGGTGACAACTTCCGTGGCCCACTTTCTCTTGGAGCGGGCATGCCCAGCTGTGGCCCTCACAGGTACCGAGATTCCTGATCTGGAGCGTTCCAATAATTTTACAGTGAAAGCCTTGAGCATGTATCAACTCACTCTTCAGAGTGAGCAAAGTGACAACAACAAACCACTGGACACATCTATGGGGCATTTGCATTTGAAGTTCCCACATGCTTTTTGTTCAGCAGGACTGTGGCGTTGTCCATTGATCTGGTGGTGTTTGCTTTTTCTTGCAGCTACTGTGGGAGCTGTTAGCCAGCTGAATTGGTGCCTTGAACTGCTGGCCTGCGGACTGGGTCTGTGTACAGGGGCCTTGGCTTTTGCGTGGAGGTTTAGGCTGGGGGGGGGCGTGGCAAAATTGCACCTTTGCAACCAGCAAGCCAATGCTAAAATTTATCGAAGGAAGTTTAGAAGTCAAACTTCCGACAATATGGACAGATGAAAAGCAGAGATGGGAAGACTCAGACAAGAGAAGAGAAGAGAAGAGAAGAGAAGAAGAAAGAAGATCAAAAAAGAGAAAGTCTCAGAAGAAAGAAGATACAGATGCGCGAAAAGGTAGGAAAGTCGCGAAACGCTGTGTTTTTCCAATGATTTGTGGCTCCGGAGGGTCGAAAAGTAGGCTCGCTAAAGCGGCGGGTGCGGAGTCAGGTGGCCAGATCATTGATGAAAAATTGCACGCCGTTGTGGCGCGAAGCACATTTGCAAGTGAAAAAGCTATATACACCTCACGTTCGGAACACTTTTGGAAGTTGAGATGTTGAAAAAGTGCACGCTGTTGTGGCGCGAAGCACATTTGCAAGTGAAAAAGCTAATTACTTTACTTCGCGTGATCCCCACCATGACATTTATACATTTTGTTACTGGCAAATCTTCTGGCATCTTCTGGCATTCTATCTGACATATCTTCTGGCATTCGATCTGGCATTCTATCTGGCATCTCTTCTGGCACTCTAACTGGCATATCTTCTGGCATATGTTCTGGCATTCTATCTGGCATATCTTCTGGCATATCTTCTGACATCCTATCTGGCATTCTATCTGGCAAATCTTCTGGCATTCTATCTGGCAAACATTCTGGCACTTTATCTGGCATACCTTCTGGCATTCTATCTGGCATATCTTCTGGCATTCTATCTGGCAAACATTCTGGCACTTTATCTGGCATATCTTCTGGCATTCTATTTGACATTCTATCTGGCATCTCTTCTGGCATTCTACCTGGCCGAGGTCCAGCGGTGCACACTGAGCTGGGCAGGATCTAGGTTGAGGTCCAGCGGTGCACACTGAGCTGGGCAGGTCCCAGGTTGAGGTCCAGCGGTGCACACTGCGCTGGGAAGGTCCCAGGTTGAGGTCCAGCGGTGCACACTGAGCTGGGAAGGTCCCAGGTTGAGGTCCAGCGGTGCACACTGAGCTGGGCAGGTCCCAGGTTGAGGTCCAGCCGTGCACACTGAGCTGGGAAGGTCCCAGGTTGAGGTCCAGCGGTGCACACTGAGCTCGGACGTTGGCGAAGAGCTTGGCGAAGAGTTGGCAAGGCAACAGTGGACGTGGAAGTGGAAGAGGAGGGGGAGGAGGCACACGAGGAGGCGGAGGAGAAGGAGGAAGAGGAGAGCTGGTCGAGGAGGAAGAGAACAACTCTGATAAAATCTAACAACCCTCACCTGGCAGGTGGGGAAAAACACCTCACGTTCGGACCACTTTTGGAAGTTGAGATGTCGAAAAATTGCACGCCGTTGTGGCGCCAAGCACATTTCCAAGTCAAAATGTACAAAACACACCAGGTTCGGACCACTTTTGGAAGTTCAGATGTCGAAAAAGTGCACGCCGTTGTGGCGCGAAGCACATTTCGAAGTCAAAATGTTAAAAACACCAGGGGTTCGGACCACTTTTGGATGCTCAGATGTCGTTCCACGTGGCAGGTGCAAGGGATTGTCGATCTTGTCGAAAGTGAGCAAAACGTGAGGGTTTTGCAACATTTCGAAAAACGATGGCAGGCATGGGACTTTTGAAGAGGATCTGCAAAGATGCATTTTCCGTGGCAGGCGCACTACAAGAGACATGTTCATCAGAGCTGTTAGGCGGTCCGGGCGCTGATTTCCTGAGAGGGGTTGCATTTTGGAGCATCAGATCTTCAGGTTTGCTGAGATGATTTTGCGTGACATGTGCAGCACTTCGTATGACCTGGCATCACTTTTTCGTGGCAGGCACAGTACTCTAGACAGGTGGACTGGAAAAATCGCAAAACGCATTGGTACGAAGTCTCGCAGAATTGCTTCGCTTTTTCATGCTGTCAACTTACCACTACAGTGCACTACACGACACTACACTACAACTACAACTACACTAGTTTACACTACAATACACTAGGCCACACTACACTATACCACGCTACAGTACACAACACTACAGTACACTACAATACACTACTCTAACTACACCACACCACAACTACAACTGCAACTGCAACTGCACTACACTAATTACAACTACAACTTACAACTACAACTCCACTACACTATAACTACAACTACACCTACAACTACAACTACTGCGCTACACCATTACTACAATTACTACAATTAAGACCATTACAACTTCATCTACACTTCAACTACACTACAACTACAACTACAACCACAACTACAACATTACAACTTCAACAACATCAACGCCACTAAAGCTACAACTACAACTACAACTGCAGCTACAACTACAGCTGCAACTGCAGCTACAGCTACAGCTACAGCTGCAACTACAACTACAACTACAACTACAACTACAACTACTGCGCTACACCACTACATCCAGAAGTTGTGAGTGAGGTGACCGCTGCAACTATTGCAACCACTCCAAAAAGCACAACTCCAACCACCTTTTGGTCCATCAGTGGATTCGCTCTGCCATCCGTGAATCACAACAACCAACCCTTCCGAAGGGTTGGTTGTTGTGACTCACGGATGGCAGAGCGAATCCATTGATGGACCCTTCCTATAGGTTTCCTATTTTTGAAACTTCCGCCGCCGCCTTGTGCGGTAATATCAGTACATACTGTATCCGGGTAAGTGGAAGAAGCTGTGCAATTATGCCGGTCATTCTTACGGAAGATATCGCACCTTGGATTCCGGAAGGGGTTGGTGTTGAACCAAACCCTAAAAAGGCACATCAAGACACATCAAGACACCTTGTTTGGGATTTTTTGCCTCCCCTGTCTCCAGGCAAGGCGAGAGCACGAAAATGGTGAAACGCAGGCGTCAATTTCTGAAAGCGTGGCCTTTGGCTCTTGAGAAATGCTGTCGCGGACCAGATCGCTCAATTACTGCAGGGAAATTGCAAGATTTCTTACGGCGCCTTGCCTCAAATCAGGCCATACCAGGTCAAAACTTGTCAAAAGGAAACCCCACCGTTGCGGTTCAGTTGTGTTTTGCTTGCGTTTTGGATTGTTTTGGTTACGTTTCCAGGTTTCTTCCTTCTTGGTATACGGTAAACGGTATACTGCAAACAGCCGCAAAACAAACGGAGCAATAACGTCCATCAAAATATTGAAATTTTCTGCAAACACCACCACCACCACCACAACAACAACATAATAATAATAATAACAGCAACGACAACAAGAACACGGACAAAAGCAAGAACAACAACTACTATACATACGCGTACATTTTCGCCTTATTGACTCATTCATTGATTTGTTGATTTACTGTTTCATTGTTTCATTGAGTGATTGTTTTATTGGTTCACTTATTCATTGGTTAATTGATTGATTGGTTGACGGATTGATTGATTGATTGATTGGTTGGTTGGTTGGTTGGTTGGTTAGTTGGTTGATTCATTGTTTGTTTGCCTCATGGATTCATTGGTTCCTTGATTCATCGGTTCATTGGTTCATTGGTTCATTGCACTATATTGCACTCATTCGTTCGTTCGTTGGTTCACTCATCTCTTTGGTTTCGTGTAATGCCATTGGCATCGCAACAACCATTTGCCTATTGATGTATCTCCCAACTGCAATCTCTCATTGATTCTATGGGCTATCTATTTCTTACCATTTTTTTTTGCTCGAAACTGCCCCGCAGCCGGGCACTCCCTGTTTTACGCATTAGGAAGAATAACGCTCATGATCGGTGAACAAGAATCATCGTGGTTGCATGATGTAAAAAATTGGTGTGTCACTATTTTAAAACTATTTTGGAAAAGTATGGAAAAGTTGTACGTCAACGCAAACATGGAGAAATCATGTCCATGTTCAAAAGTCGCGTATAAATTGCATAAATATATGTTGGTTTGGTTTCAACTGACTACTGTACACACCCATGCGCATGTTGCAATGTCTTGGGGCAAAATTCAAAGCCGATACTTCAACCTGAACCTTTTCATAGAATCTCACCCCACCTCGCACTGACTGTCTGACCATGTCAAGCTTCTGCGCCTGAGGTATTTCGAAAGTTTCATCAGAGAGCGCTCTATGTACTATGTGTGCTCTAACATTGTGAAACCCCTCACCCAACCATACCAACTTTCCTTTGCAGAACTCATAGGCCCAACGGAGATCCAATGGTTCGTGAGCCACTATTGGGGAATGTCCGTTCGTCATCTCAGTGATGCCATTTGTAAACATGCTGAAGGCTGTGACGGAGATTGGCGAGATTCTGCCTATTGGATTTGCACGTTCAGCAACAACCAATGGCTTGTGAAAAATGAACTTGGTGATGGTAGGTGGCAGGAATCTTCATTTTACCTTGCGCTCACATCCCCACAATGCAAAGGCACGGCCATGATTATTGATGAGTCGGTGTCACCTCTGCAAAGGGTGTGGTGTTTGTTTGAAGTTTACCAAACAATTTGCCTATCTCGCAGTGAACACTTTCAAGGTTTGCTTCTGTGCGCTTCCACTGGTGTACTGCAGCAAGGCAAGGCTGGCACTGATGTGGCAGTGGCTGTAGCCAAAAAAGTGGCAGAACTCGACACTCGTGGTGCTCAGGCAAGCGATGAAACAGACCGACAAATGATTCATTCGCTGATCGAGCAAATGCCAGGAGGTTTTGATACTATGAACAGATTTGTACGAGACACTATTTGCAATGCTTTGTGGGCCTCGCATGTACATTATGAGGGCATCTTCAAGAGCCTTATGTACGACCTGACATCAGAGGTTTCTGCAACACTTCCTGCCCCATTGCCGACCATTCTCACCAGTACTCCGCAACAGTCCAGAACTGTGGACAACAAGCAGTGAACAACCTGTTGAAACAATTTGTCCCAGACTCATCGGAAGCCAAAGCGCACAAAATTTGAGCCCAGCAATCTTTAAGGCAGTCTTTGCAAGAATTAGTTTCAATATGTTTCAATTGGTTTGCCAATGTTTGCCATCAACAAAAGGGTGGCGCTGCAATCCATTTGACATCTTGCAGAGGGCCATTGCCGCAGATTAACATCGCTGACACTTCGCGCCTTTAGGGGCGCTGCTCCAGCCCCTGTTCATGTGGATCATGTGGGATGTTCAACTGATTCAGTCATGATATGCTACAATCTAGCAATATCTAGCATCCCAAGCCATTTCGTCTTCAGATTGTCTTTATATCGTCTTCAGTGGTTCATCTTTGCACTCCACGGGTTGATTGTCGCCAGCCTGCACAAGATGGGTTGGCAAGCATCGAAAAGATCGAAAAGTGTGAACCGTCTCTGACCTGCTTTCACCGTTTGATCTGCCCAGGCATGTTAATGAGAGGATATGAGGGGTATTGTTCATTATTGTTCATTTTTTTTTCAGAAACATGCCTCGCATGTGTCAAGACATGAACGCATTGCAGAGTTTCTGTTGCAGAATTCACAGCGGTTGACTGGAAGCTCCACAATCGAAATCTGTGTCTGGGAAGTGAAGGTGACCTAAAACTTCAGTTGACCCAGGTTCTGAGGGAAATGTTACGTGGAAAAAGCTGATGTCAGTATTTAATATCTTTGGATTCTGACTTGATAGATGGCAAGCTCATGAGATAATGCTGACCATCTGATTAGGGATTGGTAAGTCTTTCAAAGCCCTTGTCAAGCAGCAGAATGTCATGTCATTGTAGCGGTTCATCATAGTTAAATAATGTTACAGTAAATGCCTGTTGTTGCTGATGAGTCATTTTGACCATGTGGCCAAAACTCGGCTCAAATCGCACAAGCTTGGCACCAGCTTTGTACCGGCCTGAATGGTATTTAGGGGGACAAGTTCTTTCGCAGCCACTTGAGTGAACAAGAAAGGACGTGTTGGGGTTGACAAAGGCCAAGACACTCATTTGCAGTCTGAGTCAGTCTTTTTTGGCCACTTATGGCAGTCTAGAAAGTAGCTGTTGAGGGTCACTGGCCTATGAATGTGGCCAAGATATTCCTCCATTCTACAAGGGGAGGCCACCTAGATACATAACTTAGTTTACAATATAAGTAGCCGAATCCTGATCCTACTTATCCCACTTATCCTACTTATATAATATTATATACATCTATATAATAATATAGGTATGGTCCGGTTTATAGTGGACATCCTACAATTAGATGGGTTTGTAAACCGATGTAAACCGCTGCATCAACGGTATTATATCATGGGGTCCTCACATTGTAGCTATGTGTATCAGTTTGTTTTCTAATGTGCTGCCTTACCGAGCATCCTATGTGCCATTGGCCATGTATGTTCTGGGTGCTGGTTCATTAGGCTGCCTATGGGCGGCACGCTTGGCTGCAGCTTTGCCAAGGGCAAGGGCAACTTGTCCGGACACTTCTGTCACACTTTTGCTGAGACCGGGATCAAAGAAATGCCAAAGTTTGCAAAGGATTGATCCAGCTGGGTCCACAATGGCACGACTTCGTATCCAAGCAGGATCAACGGAGACTTTTGAGGTTGATGTTCAGGCGGAGGAAGTCACGAAGAATGACAAGTCCATCCAGAAGCTCTTGCTGGTGACAAAAGCAGCTGCAGCAGCTGAGGCCCTTTCACAGGTCTCTTCCAGATTGAAACAAGAGGCAGTAGTTGTCCTCTTATGCAATGGCGCGTTAGCTGTGCATGAGCAGATCAGTAAGATGCCGCTGGGTCACATCTATTTAGTTCTTGGCCTCACAACTCATGGAGCCTGGTCAAGGGCAGACTTTGATGTGGTGCATGCAGGAGTTGGGCACACTGTCTTTGGTAGATACAGGTCAAATATCCCGGATGCCCTTTATGAGTCCACCCTGCACCAGTTGCAGACTGCCGGCCTTGGCGGAACCAACGATGCCAATATAGAACGCTCACTGTGGCTGAAACTCGCAGCCAATGCTGCTATCAATCCGGTCACTGCACTGCTAGAGAAGCCCAATAGCGTCATACTGGAGACAGAGATGGAACGACAGATAGCCCAAATTTGTGAGGAAGTCGCGGCAGTTGCAAAGGGCGTTTGGGAAGATCAGGGCTTTGACAGTGTTTGTCCATCCGCTTTAGAGATGCAGAAGTTTGCGACGGAAACAGCTCGCCAAACCGCAAATAATCGCTCCTCAATGCTGCAAGATATTCTTGCTGGGCGTCCGACCGAAATTGATTACATCAATGGATGGATTGTGAAGAAAGCTGAAGGCCTCCAGATTGATGTGCCGGAAAATACTCGTTTGGCTGATTTGATAAAGCAAAAAGAGGCCGAGCGAGAAAAATGCATTGTACTTGAACTCACGTTTGATCTCAAATCGTTCTTTCGCGATGCTTTTTGGTCTCAGCAGACCTTGTTGCCCTCTCAAGTGTAAGTACTATAAGTATTTTATTGCCAGCAGAGTCGAACCAAACAATCCCAGAAATAGATCATCTGGGATTTAATAGATAAATATAATTGGATTAGAGACATTACTAGACACATATATATAATATAATATTATATATATACAATGATGATATATTATAAACAATATAAACAGATACTCGGTTGTCCCGTTGCTTCTGGCTCCAGTTCTGTGGGCCTTGGGTTTTTCACAACTTTGGTGGCGTCCACGCCTCAGTCCCAGGATCCAGTCGGACTATGTCTCCACCTCGGCACCTTCGAATTGCTGCCTGCCATGGGCAAATCTCAACTCGTGATGGGGTCCTTATTCCATGTTATTGTGTGTAAATGTGTCTTATCTGTTATTTGATGCTATTATTACTATTATTGGATAACATTGAATTGGTTTTTCATTGGATGTTACTGGAATTCATTGTATTTATTCGTAGTAGGGCTTGTCATCCATGATCAGCAGATTCCAATTTCTATGTCCAAAGATTCCATTGCCTGCAGATCTTCTACTAGCTGAGGCCCCCAACCATGGCTCCAAAGGCGCCTTTGGATACCACCCAAGCGCTGTGATCCACCAGGGGTTCTGGATTCCCCAATTGGTTCAAGGGAAAATTTACAAACTTTACAGGAAACTAATTGGAGGGTGGAATCCATGGTTTCCTGTAAATTCCCCTTAAATCAAACCATGAGGATAATCAATTTGTTGAGGATGTTGAGGGTACAACCGTACAACTATTTAAAGTCCTTAACGCACGTGTTGCTGTTCGTTCCTCTTGCCCAGGAAATCATCAAGAAAATTGGCGAGGCGGGCTTTAATGAAGCATCCAATGGCGCTGTATCCAGCTGCTGGTTGTGTCATGTTACGGGCTGCAACTGCAATACGACAGGATGGGTTTGACATGGAAGAGTTCAAGGCCCAAGTATACAAGGCCCATGCAGACTTTCGACGAAACCACAACATTTCAGAACCTGATGTTGTTGTAGAATGTTGCAGAATGTTGTAGAACCTAGGAATAATGCATAAGAATGCCTATCAACGTCGGGTCATTAATGTCATTGGTCCTGCCAGTATTCACCGGTAGATTTTTTGATGAATCCGAAGCCGGTTTCTCATATTTGTCAGGAAGGGTGCAAGAAATTGCACATTGTCGATGTCTGAACCATAGATCTCGCCCATTGTCGATGTTTCACAGCTGAAAGAAACCCGAACAAGAAAGTGCGATGAGCTGTATCATTGTTTAAGTCAAATTCGTGATGGCACTTGTCAGGCACAAGTTTCACTGTATACGATCTGGGAAAACAAGGTTTACACTGCTTGGTGCGGCCCATGCTTGTCCATAGCTGGGATCCTCAGGATGCCAGTTGCGAAGTTCATGCAGATCATGCAGGGTTTGCATATTGATTGAGTGATTTGAGTATATTTCAGTGATGTTCCAAGCTATTTTTTCAGAGGTTCCAACCTTCAAGAACCTCCAGGTGCTGAATGTGTTTGCCTGATGCCAGCGCTATACACTGCTTGTCACTGCAACCGGCACCGGTCAGATGAACATCGACTACTTCGAGGACACCTCGAGCAATAAACTTCAATGTTATACCTGGGGAGTCCGGGAGTCAACACGTGGGTATGGGTCAATACCTATTAGTATACATTTTTAGATATTTTTAGTGGGATGAACATCCATAAATCCCAGCTATGACTTGGGGTTCACCAGAGGTACCAGGGTTTTGACCCATCCCCATGTGAAGCTGCTGTTGAAATAATTGAAATAAGGGTTGGAGGACATGCTGAACTCGAACAAATCTAGTTCGACCGGATTCGAAGTTCTTATGTCGCATGATGTCTTGCCATTTGATATCTCTATGGCACCAAGGACCTAGCTGCAATGGTACTGACACTTCTTGTAAGACTTGCCAGAGTGCCTCATAGCACATGGCACTTGTGATGTAAAAGTACTTACAGTTGGAAACGTTTTTTTTGCAATGAGGACCGGTGCACGATCACCCAAGCAGAGAGGACTTGTTTGCCCGAGGCCATGCTTGGGTAGAAAGACATTTGTGAGCTCCTAATGTTGCAAGATGTTGCGTATTCTCTCAGAGAGTGTCATAGTGAAAGTCCGTGACATTCTGAAAGCTGAAAGATTCTGTCTCATTCCCCTTGGTTCCCTTGGTTGCGTTCTGCGAGTTCGAAGAACGATTTCCGGAGACCAGCAAGCCACGCTTCCTGTTCTACAAGGAAGGAGAAGAGGCACACCGTCCAGATGCGAATCGCCGAGCTTTGAGTCACTATGTTGTTGAAGACGTTGAAGCATGTTGAGCTTAAGGACCCTTGTTTGATCTTGTTTGCAGGTGATGCAGATTGAAGGGCTCAAGGCACCCGAAATTCTCAAGCCGGGAGCTTATACAGAAGGATTTCTTGAAGCAACCCTGCCAGCACAGGAGATGTTCACCAGGTCGAGCATGCAGTAACACATGCAAGGTTCATCGAAGAGAACCTGCCAGCGATAGAGACAGAAGAGTAGATTTCGAAGGCACGAGCATCGTTGAGCCATGATGTCAATGCGTGAGTCAATATGATATAATTTAATTTAATATATCTCACTAATTGTCACTATATGTCATCACGATTTGCCGCTGGACGCCTCTATGCTGCAGTCATTGGGAGAGCTTTGGTAAGCGGGCACTTTCATGCCGCGACAAGATACAAATCGCAGTTGCAATCGAGAGTGTCAGACTAGGTCTGAAAAGATGAGGAAAAAGCGAAAAGAAATGAATAGCCTTCATGTTCTTCGTTTTTTAAACAGGATTGTGTTTCATGCCCTAACAACAGAAGCGGTCATTCTACCATCGCAGGTGGCATGCTGAAAAGCAGCAAGGCCATTGTGAGCGGGAAAGCATGCACCTGACATCGCAGCAGATGCTGCGTTGCTGGCAAAGACTGTGTGTGTGCTCAAGGTGGTCCAGTTGGTTTGGGCAAATACTCGATGACTCTTGAATACTCTTTATGAGTATCTGTTCATTAAAGTGATCGAAAGTGTATAGAAGCGAATCTTTGACAATAGTTTGGCTCTCAATAGTATGATTTCGAGACGGGTTTCACATGGACAATTTGCATGTTTATGTGGACTCCAAGTTATTGACCCCACACAACTGCCAAGTGCTTCATGTTTCCCTTGGTCAAGATTGGATTGCATTTGCAAGCACCTTTGAAATCGTGTTTCAATAATCAGGTGGTATGCTTGCAATGGAACGAGCAACAAAAGATGCGAGTCCACAAATTTGTCAACACTATGTCTCACTCATTCAGAAGACATTGACAGCTTGTAGCTCGAACCAGAAAAGCTTGTGCTTATTGTGCTTTCTAGTTGCTGGATGTGCTTTGCATGTGACTGCGAACGATGTTTTTGCACTACTGTAAATTCCTGAACACGAAGGGGGCACAGAAGCAATGCTTGAGAGCTGGCAATGCTTCTGCTTCGGTCGGCTCAACTGCAAGATTTCATGCAAAGCAGTGGACAGGAATGATACGAGACCTCTCACCAAACCTCGACTCTGCAGTCATTCACCTGTTTTGAATGCCCAATCTTGATGCAATATGTAGCAACTGTTTCCAGTGACCGGATGCTCCTTCAAGGATCTTCAAACTAGGTTGTACTCGAATTCCTGAACATAAGAAATACAAGAAATGATGCACAGACTGAGTAAAGATTCGGGGAGTCGCCGTAGTGTGAGTTGTTCCAAATGAGTGCTTCAGATGCTCCTCAGGCCTCTCATTGATGGTCCAGCTACTTGTGAGAGGACATTAGGACAACCCTGACCGTTTCAGAGTATATGGAATTATATGGATATGATTTTGTTTGACTCCCATGGATTTGGACTCTAAAAGGAAGGACAGATGACTGTGTTGGTATGTGGATGATTGAAACAAATCATTCAAAAATCTGGATCGCTGCTTCTCGTGAGGCAGCCCCACAGCCACAAGCGGCAAGTCTTGCCCTCAGATGTTTGTGGACCATGTTTCGAAGTTTTCCGTGGTGTCAAACACCAAGGTAGCCAGTTGACCAAGAAGCTCCAAAAGGCCACAACCTCCTCTGCTTTCCGATTATAAAATGTTAAGCGTACTCAGGGTTCTAGGCATGGTTGTTGTTTTTGGCAGGCGGTTGATACGGCGCCCTGTGAGGGTGTGCTGAATTTTGATATCCCCATATTTTTCGTATGTGCAATGTTTTAGGCGTCGTATCAACCGGCTGCACGGGGGTGGGGTGGGGTGGGGCATGCTAACGTCATGAACGCTTGCGTAACATGTAACACGCCACGCTACGCTACGTCCATGTGCACTTGCGTTGCACATGTACTGCTACGCCGACCACGTTGCTAACACGTCTGCACGTTGCACGGGGGTGGGGTGGGGTGGGGCATGCTAACGTCATGTACGCTTGCGTAACATGTAACACGCCACGCTACGCTACGTCCATGTGCACTTGCGTTGCACATGTACTGCTACGCTGACCACGTTGCTAACACGTCTGCACGTTGCACGGGGGTGGGGTGGGGTGGGGTGGGGCATGCTAACGTCACTCCTATATGTGGAGACACAACGCCAAGTGTGAAAACATGCTGAATTTAAATACTTTGAGCGACACCTTGTGGCGTTGAGTGAAAAAGATGCTGTCCGCAAGTTGTTCACATTATACAGACTCCAAAAAAAAACGGATTTTTTTCCATTTTTTTTGGGACATCCGGATGTCAAAAATGAGCGTTTCGTTGAGGCGAAACGCACATTTTCAAATCACACCAAATGAAAACCTCAAAAATCAAATGTTTTTTTTCTCGCCCCTGATGACTAAAATTAGTATTTCGTTGAGGCGAAACACCAATTTCCACTTTGGAGTCATGCGCCTGCCATCGAAAAATGATCATGACTTTGAAATGTCCTTTTACAAAGTCCCACAAATACCACGTTTCCAGCTTTTGACGTGAAAATCTTAAAATTAAAATCGGCAACCCCTCACAGGGCGCCGTATCAACCGCCTACCGTGTTTTTGCCTTGTGATCTTCTTGTGAAGAATTCCCATCAAGGCATTGACTCTGCGGATTGACTCGCAAGCGTCAAAAGCTCAGAATGACCGGTTGTGGGGATCTAAACTCGAATAGTTTGCAGACCACCAGGGGCATGAAAGGTGGCAAAGATAGTAGAAACATTACAGAAACCATTCTTTTCCTGTGGCAGATAGCGCTAAGGTCGCGAGATGCGCTGAAATGTCTTTCCGGCTTCTTCACCGAGAATACTGTACACACGAGGAGGTGGGGACTGATGGGAATTCACCAGAATCGTGGTATCAGACGCTGATAGCTTTGATAGTGATCGGTTGTGAATTGGAGCCATGACTAGCCCATCGCGACACATTTCCCAACATTTTGCAAACCACGTCAAAGATGTCAAAGAATGCAAGAAGTCTATTGAATATATATTGGAAAGAAATGCCCATTTGCTTCCTGGCCCCGAATTTGGTAGGAATTTGCGATCCTCCATCGAGGGCGAAAGCTTGCTGTTGCACAAGGATGACTTCGATGCTTTGCGTTTTGTTCTTGCTTTTCTCGTGTGTGTGTGTGATTTCAACAGTAGATGTCCTTCCCCAACTGGTTGGCTGATGAATTTGAGGGGTACTGTCCATTGAATAAATGATAATTTAATATAATAATGGTTATATAATAATATAGAATAGTTAATAATAATATAATATATATATATAGTGAAATTGAATGATTTTTTATTTTAGGTGACTGTGAGGTGCCAAACAGATCCATCTATTTTGATCTATTTTGCACACAAGGATGTTCCCACTCTCCACTGCACAGCACAGGAGTTTGTGAACTCCTTTGGCGCACTTGAGAGGCACCGGTGGATCTTGTCATTTTATTGCGGCTTTGCGATCCTTCCTGGTCTTGCCATGTCTTGCCGTCTTGAGGCAGCTTGAGAATCTTGATCACCTGGTGCAAGAATTGGCCACATTCCCAGTTGGAAGGTAGTTGCACGAGACTACCACAGCCATGTATCAGTTCAATATTAGGCAATGAATGGCAATGATCAATTGTGATCTCTGAATTCTTCCAAGATTGTAGCGTGTAGAGCAACTGGTTTCATTTGCTGCAGCTGTTAAGCCAAGCTGTTGCAAATGGTACACAGCGTCGCCATGTCAGGATGGTGCAGTGGAACGGGCAGCTGGGCAGCTGAAGGCAAGCCGATCGGAGACGCAGGCCTGCAAGAGATGTACTGGAGTGATTGGGTGGAAGGCTGCTTGTGGAGGTGTGGAACATTCTTAAAGTATCTCAAACAGTGCACCCGTGTCATACGTCTTGTGTTTTATCTATCTCCCCAACATCCCCAATCTTGCTTGTTGAATTCTATTGGAGCTCTGCCTGTGAAGACTCCAGGCTAGCCTTGAGAGGGCAGCTGCTTTGCGGAAGGACTCTCAAGTGTTTGGCAAAACTGTCGCAGCAGGTTGAAACTAAAGCTGATCAAAGATTTGGACAATAGAGACAAAGGTTTGATGATCAAGCATCTAGCTTCAACCTGGTTTCAATCCCACGCTCTAGTTCGTATACTTTTTGGAGAGCGTCATACAGTGGGTGTGTCATTTTCATGAAACAGGAGGCAATATCCATTGAGTTGAAGCAGCAGGTCAGCTTTGTCACAGTTGGATTTCGGTCAACTTTGTCTACCAAATCGCATTGCTTCTCATTCCATTTTCCCAATTGCATCCTCTTGCACCATAATCCCATCCCCCATCATCCCCCTAACACCAGGGTTTCGACAGCCACAGAGGTCCTCGACAAGTTTCTGGGCCGCTTTCGCTTGTCAGAGGTGAGGAGTGCCTGCAGATTTTTTTCACGGGATGAAATCACCATGGACATAATACTGTAGTATACCAGTAGCATTATATTATAGCATGATATAGGATGACATAGCTAATTAGGCTGGAAGGCTATGTCACTATAGTATCTTTTGGATTTTTTGGGGGGCTGGTGGCAAGAAGGCAAAGTCAAACCAAGTCAGAGCGTGTTAAAGCCTGTCACCACGGCTTCGGGGTTCTGACATGTGTTGACTGTGGAAGGCAGATACGCAGCTGGTCCGTTCCGGGGACAAACCCCTGGATGATGACTTCTTCACTGCGTTTGACCGCCTTGAACAGGCCAGAAATGTAGCAGGTGGACGAAGGTAGAGGGTCTTCTAAGATTGGTAAAGGTGCAGGCAATTGATAGGATGTGAGTTACTTAATGAATCTTAATGATTTGAATGTGTTTTATTCATTACTACTTAAAGCAGTTAGAATTTTGCTAAGAGCTCATGCTACTGTACCGTCATTTTCTTAAGAGATTTAAGAGTGCACATCTGAGGTGCGTTCAAATGCTCGACACATGCGCTTCCCTTATTTTGGCCTTTTGTGAAAAGAAACGGAAAACCCGCGAAATCCAAACTTTCTGTTGTCACCAGGCAATCCTTGGGATTTTCCGGGTACCATTGAGGCTAAGCACCAGCGGCCAGCAGACATCAGGGGCCAGGGTCTGAAGCAAATCATAGAGGTCAGATTAGTTGCTGTCGGATTCCTGACTTCAAACCAGGTTGACATTCTCCACGAAACTTCCGAGATCCTGGAGGCGGGGCTGAGTGTTCTCCACCTGATTCTTTGCGGCGGTGCAGGTATCTCCTTTGTATCATTTTGTATCAATAATGACTAATTAAGACCAAAAGAATCAAATAAAATATAAATTCATATGGCATAGTAAAATCATGTAAAATCCATACATAGAATATCACAGAATTATTTGTCGATTACAATTGCCGGAAATTGGAAGCATACTTATTCATTGATTTACTTTTTGATTCAACGTTGACATGCTGCTTGGATGGCCAGGCTTCCTACGAGCGAATGTTTGTTTGGGACACTGCCTCAGGAAACTGCATGCATATACTAGATTATATTAGAATATATATATATAATAGAGCCAGGGTCAAAATGGTTGAAGACTACTTTAGTATTGCAGGAGTTGTTTGTCAGAGATTGTGCACGAAACACTGTGAAGCGATAGGCCCCCCCCAAAAGCGATAACCTGGGACCATACACGACAGTCCATTAGACTTGGCGTAAGCCAAGCAAATACTGTTGTGCACAATCACAGAACGGGCAAAACCGATGAGGGAAAGTCAACCTTTGTTGCCCTGTTTGCAGTTACCATAGCATTTGGCATCCAACTCGCTCGCTCTCTCTCTCTCTCTTTCTTTCCTTCCTTCCTTATTTCTTTCTTTCCTTCCTTCCTTCTTTCTTTCTTTCTCTCTCTCTCTCTCTATCTCTCTCTCTCTCTCTAACTCTCTCTCTCTCTCTCTCTCGCTCTGTCGTTGTGTGGCAAATTTCCTTCGAACAATGTCATATTATGTTGGAGGGGTTATTTAGCGATAACCTTAGCGATAACTTAGCGATAACTATTTGTTGCACTCGGTTCCCTGGCCAAGCCATAGAGCCATTTCCATAACTTTAGAAAGTAAATAAGGACATGAATGCAACATGAAAGGAAAATGTGTGCAAATGAAAGGAAGATGAGAGGACATGAATGCACATTGGAATGAAAATGAAAGGAACATGAAAGGAAAATGAATGGAAATGAATACCAATGAAAGGAACATGAAGGGAAGATGCATGAAAATGAAGGAAAATGCATGCGAATGAATGCAACACAAAAGGAACATGAAGTGCTGCCGAAGCACCTGAAACCAGCAAAACAACTGCTCGATCCATTTCCGAGCCTGTTTAGGAATGGATTTCGGCTTCATGTTGGATCTCGAATATGTTGATTTCCACAAAACCCTAGAAACCGATAGGCCCCCGCCCAAAAAAAGCGATAACCATATATGACATAACAATAGCAACTACTCAAATGTAAAGGATTTTGACGGAAGCTATATATATATATTAGATAGTTACTACCAAAATGATATTGCCATATATGATCATATATTATATATAATTATAAATATATATATATATGTGAATTATATATATACATATAATGTATTATATTGATACGTTGAGTCGATTACTCACCGGTCCAGTTGTCTACGGCGTTCCTCAACCTTTAAGGTGCAGCAACAGTGCCGCGGACCCAGGGAAGCTGCTGTTGCCAAAAGCACGTCCAGCCCCCAAGCTGCGAGATATCCACGATGCACAAGCAGGCAGCCACTGTACTCTACTGTAATGTAGTCACCAACCACCACCAACTGACTCAACTTAAGTTAACTCAACTGCAAGCTCTACGCAAGAATCCATCCAAAACCATCTAAAACCAATCAAAAACACATTACTGTATGTAATTCACATGTACTTCCCACACACGTCACTTCAAAAGGGATCAAAAGGGTTGTCTTTTCAAGAATAGCCGTTTGCACAAGGTCAGCTGAAATGGACACTCCTGCTGGGCATGTCCTCAAACGCGTTTTGAAGTACCTTTCTCAGCACCTTGCGATGGCGAAGAGCGACATGTTACGTCGGTGAAAGCCAAGAGGGGAAAAACGACACTCATTTAGCAAGTTTCAACCACCGAACACTTCTCTTTGCGAGTTGTTCATGCTGTTCTTCTTGTAGTGCACCATCAGATGCTGCGGAGTTTTTGATTGAAACAAAATTATCTTACTTGTATAGTCACAACTTCTTTCCGGAGTATAGCCAGAGACATCCAGAGACTAAGGCTGTTGAGAGAAAGACCTGTCTATTTCAATCATTGCCTTCGAGATATTGCACGCGTTAGGCGGGCACTTGAATCACTTGAATTTGAGCCACTCATTAGTTGCATCATGTTGCATCATGTTGCATCATGTTGCATCATGTTGCATCATGTTGCATCATTACCTCATTGGATCTCATTGGTTTGGTACGCAGGAAGCAAGCGCTGCAACAGCGTTTCTTCGAAGCTTTGAGTCAAGGTGATGCCACCTTTGGTACAAGACCTATCGATTTGCAGGCTAGTTGTGTCCATGCTAAGCACATGTGAAAACAGATCGTGTCACTGCTGCGGATTTGCTTGTCATAGCCATCACATTAAAGTGCAACGCATTCATTCATCATATTTCATCATCATTCAAGAATGAACATGAAGCAGTAGTACAGCACGTTTTACTCACTGTTGCAAGCAAGATGTCTGAATTCGTGACGATCGTTGAAGAGGCCAGCGATCCAGTTCGATATGTGAGCGACATGTTGGCATGGCTTCATCAAAACGCGTGGGCCCAATCCGAACGTCTGAGAGGTGCAGCATTTCGTAGCTTAGCAGCTGGGATCACAATGTCATTTCAGGTTGCGACTGAGCAGGATGCTCTAAGCAGCCTCATTGGAAAGGAGTCAGTGGGAGCCCCAACAGAGCCAGCTGTTTGCGTAACATTGCGCAACCAGCAGATTCAACAGAAAGATACAGAAAGGGTGAACCTGACAAGGCTGCAGAAAGCTCCGCTTCACGGGAACGCCTGGCGTCGGATGAGGGCTCGACGCTAGTCTGTTTGTCGTCTCAGATTGGCGAGTCTGTGGTTTAGACATGTTTAGACAATGTGCTAGATCAAAAGAAAATAGAAGAAATATATCAAACAAATTCAAACAATATATATACATATCTACAGGCACAAAGGAAAATGCTATCTTCGGGTTTGGTTCACCTCAGCGGTACATTTCAGTTCCAGTCTGCATCGTTGAAGTGGTTTGGATAGTTGGTTCGTGGTATTTGTGCACTGGTTGGATCTTCGGCCAGCTGAGGATGACAGTAGTGAGCTATGACGAGATGCTGGACATCTCCTTGGATGGTGTGGCTACAACTCTGGCGACAAAGACCAAACAATCGCTACTCGCCAACTCCTCTGGTCACGCGCATGGTGTGAATAGCTCAAACACCTTCACCTCCAACACTGTCATTGTGACCATGTACAGGGTTGCACAAGCTTTCTCTTTATTTGCCAAGAAATTTGACGAGCAACTGCAACGGAAAGAAGCCATGTTGGTATCAACCTGCATGGATTTGCACGCCCGAACCTATCAAGACTTCCTAGACTTGTGGGAAGCTCAAGCACAAAAACTTCGTCAAGGCGTTGCTTCAGTGTACGTGGCAGCTTTGTCAGCTCCCTCATTTGTGTTGGAAGCGGCCAACACGTTGCAAGAGGTTTTATCGATTTACCAGATAGCTCCAGTCCCAGCTGGCGAACGCGAGGCTGACTTCCTCCCGGTTTTATCTGCAGCCTTTGACCCGTTGCTGAATCACTGCCAACAAGTTGCCTCCATGATGGACGCCGCAGATGGGCAAGTCTTCTTGATGAATTGTGTTTCAGCAATGCAGACTCCCTTGGAAAAACACGAATTTACCAAGCAGCGACAGGACATGTATCTTGCCTTCTTGCAGGATCAAGCACAGCGATTTGTGGAAGGACAGGCCAAAGCAGTCTTGTCCAAAGTGGGTCTTTCAGAGCGCCTGAAAGCATTGAGAGACAAACCAGCAGATGTCCCCCTGAGTGGAGTACCAGAGCTCCATCCAGTATCATTGGCTGCAACTCTCAGAACTTTCTACAACTCCTTGTTCACTCTTGGTGGAGCTCTATCACTTCCATTGCTTGAGCGCATTGAAGATGTCAGTTTGCGACACCAGATCCGTGGGCAAATTGCCAAGCTGATTGCTTCCTCCTACGAAGAATTACATAACGGGATCGCAGAATTGGGCATCACCACTCACACTCCAGATCAGGTGCGAACGTTGCTTGAGGGAGTCTGAGGCACAATTGTGGCATCCAAAGGAGCGTGTCTCTCTAGCTTGTGTTTGCATGTGTTTGCAATAGCTTGTGATGGATTTCCTTCCTGCCCGATGCACTGTTGCAGTTTGTTTGTCTATATTGGATTTGCCTTTGTGGGCGGTGATCAAGTTTCACATGTTGTAGCAACAGATGTGACAGTAAGTACACATTAGAGTCAGAGGCTGACAGTCTCGTTCGAAAGAAGGACAGCCCAGCCTAGTTACAAAATGAGACACATTGGATCCCGTTGTTGTGCAGTCCCTAAGTCCCTAAAATCACGCTTGGAAATGGCAGCACTACAAGCGAGATGATGCAACTTTGCACCCCTGATATCCCCTCAACTGTGAAGACTCAGCGACGTAGCACCGGCGTGACACCATGACGAATGAGAATCGGCTTGCGACCAAGTGTTCTTTCGGGTACGAAGCCTTCAGACTCCCTTGCCTGGCCTTGCCGTCCTACCCTTGGTGCAGCATGTGTAGCTGTGTTTGATCCTGACAGGTCAGTTGTCCTGGAAGAGCATGTGGATTCGGACGGGTTGCAGTTTGATGTTCAATGACGTTCCACAAGAGTATTGGCTCAGCAATGGATAGCAATAGTATGATCCTTCTTGTGCGTGATCTGTTGTTGCCATTTCTTCTTAAATCCCTGGTGTGATTCCGAATCTCGTCACTTGGCATTGCTTGGAATGTGCCTTGGAGATCCTTGGAGGACTATGAGCCGACCGAGCAAGAGATTCTGGACTATTCAGAATGGTGCTCCCTGCAAATTGCATGGCAGATGTGCACAGCAGCAGCTCATTGTCTTATAGATTCTAGATGCAACACATAATTAATTAGTCAGGAGATATGAGATTTCACAAGTCTCCTTAATAATCTTCAGTATTCTTTAATGATATCTTTCATCCAATAGTTGCAGGCTTGGAATGGACGCAGACGCCGACAAAGACCTCATGTGGATTGCGCGGGCTGGTCTGAAGGCCGCCAAGAGCCTTCTATCAGCACAGCCACTGTCACCTGCATCGCATATGGACTTGACAGCTGGATCTTTTATGAGAATTGGAACGAATCTATCAGATAGATGGTTCAAACAGCTGTAGGAAGGTGACACTGAAAGAAAAGACGGAAGGGACAGAAGCCTCAAAGATGTCCGTCCTTCACTGTCTTGAATTCACAGCTGTGAATAGGTGCCTTTGCCTGCACCCTGGAAGCCATGCACCACTGGAGAGGACTGAAAGTTGCGGTGCTTGGATGTGCTTGGCATGTGTTACCTGATGTTACCTGCATTCTCTATCATTCAATTATCATTCTCTATGTTCAGGCGTTTCAGAGGATGATCAGGATAATTGTTTTATCATGTACTGCAAGCTCTCAGAAATTCTTGCAATGCTCAGCTGACGCTTAAAACTTGGACGCATTACGATGCACTTGGAAGGAGAATGACGTTTTCTACTTCAACTTTGAAACTGGCGAAAGCGTTGGGATCTCGATGTGTTGTAACATGCTGGAATCAAAGCCATTTCGATGCTATTTCCCTTCAGTCAGTGACCTCAATGAGAGATCTTGAGAGATCTTGAGGTGTGGGATCATCCTTGCGATGAATTTCATCGGCTTCTGTACAAACGGGAAAAGGCCAGGAAGTTGGGACCCCAGATGCGGTTCACTGCTGCAAAGACATGCAAAGACCATTGAAGATCAGCAGATAGCAGGTTTGGTATGGTTTGGTCAGCATTGTCCTCACTGTGTATTTCGGGTCTTTGAGTCGGTCTTGACAGCGCCTGAAAATTCTGCTGCCGTTTGGGCCTGATAGCCAACAGTAAAGCATACTGAGAAGGGATGCAGCCAGCAACACCTTGGGAACTGGCGCAATCTATGAAGAGATATTGAGAGATTCATTGTTTACAGTGTTTCTCGGCACGCATTCCCACTGCGATGTCCACAACATGCTGAACACCGAGGAGTTATGATGTGTTCACCCAGAACAAATAATAATAAACAATAATAACTTATGAGACATATGAATTCGAAATAATCTAATATGGAAATTATGGAATTGCAATGAATTGTCCATCCGCGATCAGGAAATTTATCCTCTGTGAGATTATGAAATCGCAGCTATCTCAAAATTTCCACAACTCGAGTCACGCTGCGCCAAAGATGCCATGGCAGTGACTGGTGCTGTGATGGATATGGCCAATGACCATAACCCAGGCAGCCAGGGGAGACTGTTGGAGACCATTGGAGACATGTCAGTTTCTAATGGTGAAATTTGAGTTCCAACTTTTTTTAAACTTTTGCAGAAGATGCAAAAGCTTTACTTGTTCGTTTGACTTGGAAAAACATATGCAAAAACATGCAAAATTGTATGAAAAGCAGATCAAAAGCACGATCTGAAGTTATGCACTTTGAATATCTTTGAGTATCTTTGAGTATCTTTGAGTTGGAATGTTGCAGGGCCCTTGTGCAAAATGGGTTGCAAGCGGCCATGCGCCGGGGCCTAAGGATGGTGGCAGCCACCTGAATGAATACCCCGCCCAAATCATCCCAATCTGATACATCTGGGTGCGGGATACTCCAGTTTATGGTTTTCTAATTGGAGAAAACTATGGTAAACGAATCTAACATAGTGTAACCATGGTTGGTTTATGTTGATGTTGGGGTACCATGGCTACCATGGTACACCATATGCCGAGGCGAAAGGAGGATACGACACCTGCTGCAGGGACTGCGCAACCAGCAATGGTCGAAGCCATGGCAGCAGCTGCAAAGTGCTTCAGTCCGCCTCTGCTTCTTTGAGCTGCAACTTGCACAGACTGCCCATTGTCAGTGGGGCCTTAGGGGCTCCTTTTGGGTCAAAATTGGATGCACACGAATTGGCTATTGAGGCTGCTGGTAGTTGATGATAGTTGGATACAAATGACCAAGATCTCTCTCTTGGGTCTCACATTTTGACCCCAGATGATGTGAGGGGCTGGTTCTTCCGAGATGTCTAAGTCTAAGTGTCGTGCGTCAATATCATCAATACTTCTCCAACAGATTCCAGATCTTGGATTCTGAATGATCCTGGCAGAATCCATCAAAGATTAAGAAGGATCCAACATTCATGATTTCAATGATTTCTGAAGGGGAGATTTGGATGATCATAAGATCACAAAAAGCACGGAATATCATCGAAGTCATCCACGGGAAATCGATGCCACATCTGAGGTTGCACACAACCTTCATAGCCGATAGGGGACGACCCTTCACCGATGAGAGTGTAACGCCACGAGGTCACCAAAAATATGTGTTTTTTTTAGTTTTTTTTTGGAATATGTTATGTTTCTTTTCTACATCTTTGATCATGATCGTTTTTTGGACCCCCCCTCTTCAGACAGCTATATATTACATTTAGTTTTATTTTGTTTGGCTTCTTCCTTCCCTTTCCTTAGGGATCCCTGTGGGTCTCTGGGAATCTCTGGCCATCCCTGGGAATCTCTAGCAATGTTCGGAGATCGCCAATCTCTGGGATTCTCTAGAGATCTCTGGGGTTTTTGCTGGGGATCTCTGCAAATCTATGAGAAGCACCTAAAGAATAAAAAGGAGAAAGGAAAAGAACATAAAAGAACTGAAGTTCTACATGTTAATCCGTTCATGATATTAAGGAACATTATCCAGAATTATCCAATTAAAGCTATATGAGCATAGAGGATCAAACATGATATAGCAGCAGAAACACTGCATTCCTAGAAACGTGGAAAAATGTGGAAAAATGGGGACCTGACAGAGTGCCTTTCTGTTACCGATACCTCATGTGTGATACCTCCGGGAACACTGAAACCCTCACAACGGATAGGGGACGACCGATGTTGCCGAGGCAAAATGAATTGTGGCCGGAATCCTTCACCTGGGTATCAAACCTGCTGCCGCAGGCGTGCTCAAAGGGGGCCAGAGCAGCTTATTCCAAAGAGTTTTGCTTCACATCTATCTACGATTATGATAGTGTAGTCTACATAATATATTCGTTATCTGGAACACATATATCTAATATACATTATATAATATATCCATTGTAGGTATTAGTATGTATTAGTAATATATGTAATATTCTGTATAACTACGCATAATTATTGTCCTAAGTGACCTAGGTACTTGGGCCTGATAGATCCTGGTTTTCCAGCATCAGGTGTGCAACTGGACAGGGCCATGATGGAGATTGTGATGCCAGAAGCCACGGAGTGTTTTCCTCAGTTCGAACAGATTCTGCATCCAGGCATTAGCTAAGGCCAAGAACCCTGGAATCACATGGAATCGCTATCTTTTTTCCGCCTGTGGTGCATGTTTTTTTTTCAAATTATTGGTTCATCATGGTCAAGGCCGCTACAGCTGGCCATGTGCCTGGCCACGTGGTGCCTGGCCATGTGGTGTCTGAAGTGATGCCACCGGAACTCGCTGGGCATGGGCAACCTGGACCAGTGATGCCACATGGCCCCGGTCATCCGCATCCAATGCACCCGGTGCATCCGCCTTGCGGCCCGGGCCCATCCTATGCAGCACCCGGGAGCTTCCTGCTCTGCATCGAAAGTGCCAAGGATTTGTACGATGTTGATACTCTGCTGTAAATCAGGACTTGTAAAATGAATCATACCTCAAGGTTCAATGCTGTTTGATGGCTTCACAATGACTTCTTCCGTATCGGTTCACTTTGAGAAGGAGTCCTGGTGCTGTGTGCGTGATTTTGTCATCACACTGTTATCAGCTCTTCTTCGATGAAATTGAGGATTGGACTGGCAAGATGGACCCGTATGTGATAGTGCGAAGTGGTGGACGAGAGTTCCGCACTCCGGTCATGACCAATGCTGGAAGAAAACCCAAATTCAACTGGGCCCAGATGGTCGATTGGCGTGGGGAGCCAGACATTCACTTCATCGTCATGGACAGCAACTTCATGGTAGCTGACGGGCTCATTGGAGAAGCTGTGTACAAAGGTTTGCCACTGCATTCAGATTTCAAAGGACAGGAGTGCACGGAGTCTCGCAACAGTCGAAGCACAACTATATATATATACATGTGCAGTTGATGTAATTATTCTATCATTGCATGTGTGTGTAGCTTCTATACAGCCGAACGGTGAATTTGCATCTTGCCGTTTTGACACCACTGACACCACTGACATCATTACTTGCGAACGGATTTCGAAACATCATGGCGCAGCAGTGGTGGCCTATGGTGCCCTTGTGCTGTGTAAACAGGAGCTTTGGAGCTCATCCGCAAACATACCTTTGGTGGTTGTCGAAAAGCTGGGAAGCTGAAGGTTGCAATCCAGTGGCAAAGACCCGGTGCACCAGGCATGGCATGACAAAACACGTGGATGAAGAACAACAGAAAGCCATGGCTTGTGGAAACAGAAGGTGCTGAAAGAATCTTAAAAAGATCAGACATGGATATGAAATGATATGAAGAAGCTGGATGATTTCCTTGTGGAAGCTACTTTCCACATATGTTCCATTGGCATCCATTGCCTACCCACCAACCACTCTTTGAAACCATTGTTCCCTGTTGAAAGATCCAGTAGGTCCGATGCCCGCGATACACCATGGCCATGGTGCTCACGGTGCTCACAGTGCTCATGCCGCTCCTGGCGCTGGCTACATACCAGGACATCCACCTCTTGGAGGTAGGATGTTTGAGTTTTTGTGGGGAAACTGATTTTCCAATCCGCTGGAAATGGTGTTATATTACTTATAACCACATTAGTTGCCCCATGTTTCAAACCCCGTGGAAGCTGCTATAAACACTGGTAGCCAAGAGAGTTTATCCATCCCATTTGGAGTAGCTACTCCACTGCTTGATAGGTCATGATGCCTTTGGTGTGAGTGCTGCAATGGCTGGTCAGATGCTTCTGATGGGTGCATATGGTCCAGGCACATCTGGGAGCTGGACATGACTGGCTACCAAGAGCCCATTGAGATAGGTAGTGAGTACCCCAAAAAATGGATGGCAACTGAATGCTAAAGACTGGCCAAATTTTGTGGTTCCCAAGACCCAATGGCCAGTGCATAACACCCTGAGGCAAAAAGATGAAGAAGGACTGTGTTGAACTGTGTTGCTTATTGCTGGATCAAGATTCTGCGCTTCAATCGCCACAAGACCGTGGCACAAATCTGAACTCCCGAAGGACAAAAAAGAAAAGAAGTTCAAGCACATGCACAAGAAGTCCTCCAAGTGGACTCGGCAAAGTCGATGCTTACAGTTCATTACATTTCATTACATGTCATTACATATCATTACATGTCATTACAATTCAGTACATTTCATTGGTATACAAAGTGCAAGATCCAATTGTTGATTTGGATGGACAGTCTTAAAAGTTTGTCTTGCCAGGCATAGCAGTTCTAGCTCCAGTTCCAGCTCATCCTGATTCAAGTGAGAGTAGTCAAGCGATGGCTAAGAGAGAAGCGGACCTGTAGTGGTGGCTGACATGATCGTGTCCTCCCACCTCATTTTCGTTGTCCAAACAATGATCATCCACCAATTCCTGGGGGTTGACATATTGTTTTTCTATACCCATGGGTATACCCATCATCTAATACCTGTTGGAGAATCCATCGGAATCCGATTCATGGTGGGATGACCAAACCCACTAATCAATACTAATCATGTTAATCCCATGGAACAACTGACCATGGCACATGTGTCGGTCGATTTGTCTTCCATGTGATCAGATTTCCCAACTTCCAAGGCTTGGCGAGGACTTTGATGAGGTCTGGAACTCAAGACATCAGAATCTCTAATGAGCAAGTCTTGGTAGGATTTGGGGGTATGACAACCAGGGAGTTCATCGTTTTTTTCTATATATATATACATATATATATATATAATTATATGATGATATATGTTCCATCTGTTCTATGAGTTGCACTTGGCAGTGTTGGGGCTGTGCGAAGTTCATGTCCAGGCACAGCTGGAAGAAGTGGCTGAGCGCCAGCTCCTGAACCGTGACATTTTGAAGCGTGCGACATAGACCATCATAGGCCATTAATGCACGTGTCGGCATGGTAAAGTGATTCTGAATCTCAAGGTGTCCACATGTTTCCACCTAGAACATACACATGCGTGATCCATGTTCGCGACATTTCAGTAGCATTTGGAGCTCCATGGAGCTCCAATACTATGGGAATCTATGGGACCAATTACTGGACCAACATTTTTTTCCAAGGCCTTGGATTGCCGTATGGACCTGAGAGTGGCCAGTTCCTCAATGGAAATCTTTGGATAACATCACTGCAAGATTCATGCTTCCCCTTGATGGATCTTTATGATATCTTTATGATATCTCTATGATATCTCTATGGTTCTTCCCTGCTGGTTGTTGTGATTGCTGCACCCAGCCGCTGCTTCTGCCCCTTTCTGGCTCACTGTGGAGACGCTCCACTGTGGCAGTTGTGCAGTCATGGGACAGGTAACACCCTGTTGTGAACTGGCTGCATCCACAACCCGAAGTTATATTGATGGGAGAGCTGCGACGCCAAACAGTGAATTGTTCTACGATAGGTCCAGTGAAAAGTACAACAGCCCCTTGAAGCAAGGCATTGAAGCAGAGGACATGGATGAAGATATGCATCCTCCAAATTTCCTGGAGATAGAGGTCTCTCCAGTGTCTCAATCTTCGCAGTCGAATCGAAACGTGACTTTCGAGACAGGCAAAGATGAAGATGAATCCAAACCATCTCAGAAACATGCTCCGAATGCTCAGACAAGTGCTGTGAAGACTTTTGTAAAGGCTCTCATCCGTGGGCATCCTTCAATTCTTGTGTGTGAGACTGGCGAGCAGAAACCATGCGTGATGATGCTGGACAAGACCATCAGAACCCTTGCAATTTGTGAAGGCAAAGCATCAAAGAAGGATTGCATGCACGAAAAACACGAAATATCACTAGCTTTTGTTTAGGACATTCAAATTCAAGACGTCAGATCCTTGGCAGAAACTGCAGCCACCAAACAGAACAAAGCTGGCATCCGGTGGCTTCCTGCGCAAGAGTCTAACAAGTCTGATAAATCCGTTTGCGTCGCCTCCATCGTCTCCGTTCTTTTTGCACTTCAGCGAGATCTTTTTGCGACGACGTTATCAACACTTTGTCGCCGAGTCCAGGCTGATAAGCTGCACACAGAGGGACAGACAGGACAGACAGTTTCGTCTCAGGAGAGAGCCTGGTGAAGTGCATGACTTGAATGACTTGAATGACTCCGTGTTTCACACTGCTCCAGCGAAATTTGTGACTTTTGGGGATGCTTCCATTTCGGAGGTGTCTGCAAAACCAGCTGGCTTTGATGTATCCGAAGGGCAGAGCGCCCTTCCAAAATTGGTGAGATTGAGTGTGTTGAATCCCAATCAGGGAACACTTCAAAAGAGCAAGGATGTGTTGAATTCCCGACCATGGAAGCCACCAAGTCTTGTTTTGGCCACTTGAAGTGGCCCGTGGTATCCTGTGGTTCAATAATTTCGACTTAATGCCAGATTTAATGTTCATAGCAATACTGTAGCCTGATGCGTAAAGCGCCCTAGGTTTTCCCACTTAGTTCTGCCGCGACTTGCTCCTGTTAGACAAGCAAGTCGCTGCAGAACTAAATGGGGTCTTGGCATTTAGCAAGGCATGCAGAAGAGACTCATAGACAGCCAGGGCACCATCCCAGCTGTATGCAATAGCAAACGAGACTGCACAATGTTGCAGCCGACTGGTGAACATGTGCCCTTCGTGCATCAGTGGCGGCTGCGGCCAGTCGTTAAGATCAGCTGCGCTCCATGCACCATGCCTTGCATGCCTTGCTTGCAAGACTTGAATGTTTTGAAGAGTATCAGAGTTGAGACATGTCAAGACATGGGAAAGGCAATGTCAGAAGTTAAAGCCTTCACTGCCAGGCGATCCCTTAGATGATAGTGGCAGCTTGGGGCAAAGCGGCAGCACCACGCTCAGTTATTGTTCAACAATTTTCAATAGAAAGTGTGAAAACATGTGAGAATAACTAAGGCTTTTCTGATCTGAAGATATTTGCAGCACCTTGCATGGCTTCCATTTGTTTCATCGCTCTAGGTGGCGGCATTAGCCTACCTTCAGGCAAGGAAGTGATCGTTTTTGTTGGGATGGCGCACTTGGCATCTGTAGCAGGTGATGGAGACAAAAAGAAGAAGAAAAAGAAGGCCGGTCCAAGCCACTTGCACTGTAGCTGATCAGGATAAAGGCCCTTCAAAGATCTTCAAAGATCTTCAAAGATCTTCAAAGGGTAAAGGATGGTAAAGTTTCAGGCACCACCAAGCTCTATAGGAATGATACAGCTAGGGTATGTAGCAGTAACAGTCTAGCATAGTCTAGCCATGTCTAGCCAACGGCACAGCACAGGAGAAAAAGGAGAAGAAATCCAAAGAACCCAAGAAAGATGAGGGTAGGCTGGAGGCCTCTCTGATGGCTTCTCGTTGGCTTCGAGTGACCTGTTTGGTGGTTCTGTCTTTTGTGCATACTTACTGTATATATAGAGTATTTGTATCTAAATTTTGCTCAATTAATCTTAATTAATCTTAATATACGTAGCTGAACAAATTTCAATATGTTGGTATGTATTTATACGGTTCGATTTTATATGTATTTATGCGTTTTTATCATTATTTATTCAAAAGTCGTTTCTTTTACCTTCAGTTGATCTCATGGTCGGTGGACAATTCCTGCCAGGCACCCAAGACATTGGCACCCTTGAGCACCACGCGCATGGGTCCAAAGCTATCTGAGCTGCCGAGTGCAGCGAGTCAGATGGAGGTCGAATGCTGAGTCGAATGCCTTGTTGGAATGGTTGAATGTTCCACCATGTTGCACGAATTTCTATAGATATGTTATACGTATATTGTTATATTAATTTATATGATATGATGTTATATGAGTGATATGTTCTACTGGTTTCTTCCATGTGCCAGCTAAAGGGTCGTTTGCCGAACAGATGAAGTGGATCATGTGAGTGATTTAAGAGTTGCCGGAATCCTCCAGTTCTCGCTGCTCAGTCCATGTTGAACCGGTTGAGCTGCGCCAGGAGGCCCCTCCATCATCTGAATCCAAGATGTCTTCAAGGTGGAGCTGCTGATGGTTTCAGTTCTGCTGATGTTGCCGCGAATGCCGGATGTGGCCAGGGTCCCCTCGCAGTCCGTTCTGAGTGAAGAGATTGCCGAGGACAAGGAGGCTGGGAAAAATGATAGGCAGGGGAGAATTAATTCAAAACTTGACAGGAGGAACCGTAGAGTTTTACAGGAGATGCAATGGACAGATGAAAGGAAATCACCGAATCTAGAAGGATCATGGAATGTCAAAAACTCAGCAATCAGCGGTCCGAAATCAGCGGTTTTTATGTCTCAGAACATTATTGAAATATGGCAGTGTGTCAAAACCCTGGTACCCCTGGTGAACATCAAAATAGCTGGTAAATGGATGTTCATCCCACTAAAAATGGATACTAATAGGTATTGATCCATACCCATATGGTCAAGTAATGTCAAGTATGTTAGAGACTGTTGGAGTGTGCCGACATGTGCCGACCGCTGGTGAAGGCACCACCTGCCCCGAGATCCAGTGAAGACCTGTCAGTTTCCCAGTGCTCAGTTTGGTTTTGTTCATGTCTATACATCGATAAAAGAACAGATTGCATCTCCATTTATATATATATATATATGTACTGGACATGTATGACGTATATATTATAGATAGTTGTGAAATCCTGTGAACATAGGTAGGTACTATAGATATGATTAGATATGTGTTCACCTCCTTCTTCCTCTTCGCTCCAGTGTGAGATACTGAGGCCGCGGCCAACAGGAGGATTGCCACCCCCTCCAAGTGGTGAGCCGTGTTTGCCTCAAGACAAACATCTGGCCGAACTTCAGATGTCCTAATAGTAAGATATAGTAAGATATAGTAAGATATAGTAAGATATAGTAAGATATAGTAAGATGTTCCTACATATCATTTCCTTTTGCATGTGCACTATTGTGCACTACAGTATAGGTATCTACAAGTAGCCCAGTAGCTTGGTTTCAGATGCTTTCAGTGTTGTGGGTGCAATGATTGGCGACTTCCCTCAAAAGCAGAAGCAGCCCAAGCCCATGCCACCTCCCAGCCACCTCCCCATTTTTCCAGGCCAACTGTCAACAACTCAGAGGCATGTTCCGCGGAAACTGTGGTCTTTTTGGTTGACTCTTGGGGCACCTTCGATGGAACAGGCAAAGTCCGAAGGCGGCACAAAAGGAGGAACCTCAGGAAGCCAGAAGGAAGAAAAAACCAGGCTTGGGTGCGAATATTTGTTGTTGATTCCATGGCATACGGTTGGGTTTCTATTGTGATTTCAATTTAAGTCCACAAGTTTATCGTTACTTTGATATTGATTCCTACTTCCACATTTTTGTTTAATTATCAATGTTTATCATCCCTTTGATATTTTTGGCCGCAGCAGCAATGGCTGTGGCTTCAGCTTCATTCCCCAGGCTGGAGGAGCAATTCGAGAAGTCCGTCGCTGCCTTGCAGGCGGAGCACAAAGCCAAACTGGCCAAGCCGGTTCCTCAGTGGCTGGCGCCAGAGCCGCTAGAGCCCTGGTTAATGGTTTTTCGTGGAGTTTAGTTTGGGGATCATACGAACAACGGATGGTTATAAATGGACTACTTGATGTTTAATTGGTCTACTTTATGATTAAATTTATTAGATTATTGTGCTAGCTTGTATAAATTGGGAGTATTATACGTGGAACTGGGTCGGAATAAAATTGAAAGATCGGAAGCGAAGCCAGTTTGGGATAAGCAGAATATATTAGATAGCAACAAGACGGAACGAGACCCTGTCTTCAGGCACCGTCGGGAATTGCAAGAGGAGTTTGAGATGGCTCAGACCTGAGCTTCCGTGAAATGGTGCCTCAAATTTGCTGAAACTTGTTCTGCGGGCCCCAATGACATCAAACATAGTGAAGAGCTTAAAAGAAACCGCATGAAACAGTGCTTTGATTTTCTGACTCCTGTGTTGGGGCATGTTGTGCAGTCTTTGCCAAGGAAAGAGACAAGACATTTTCAGAACTCCAGGCCAGGTTTTGCTGGATGAAGCGCCCCGGGTGTTTCATGTGCCTCGTCCACAGCTGCAAGACATTGCAGGAAAAGCATGAGACCCAAGTGAGGGCAGAAAGAGTGACCTTGCTGCAACATGATGCAAGCATCTGCAAGTGATGATTTTGGTCAAAGCACTTGGCCAAAGAATCGACATCTACAGAGTCAGCTGTTAAAGTTTGGTTCGATTGGCATCGCATGCTTTGGCATTGCCGAGGCACGTTTGCAGCAGGAGAGCTGCTGAGTCTGGGAAATCTTAGACTTGCGATTGAATCACTTGAGTCAGGAGCTGGCCTCACAGAAGGGAAAGACAAAGAAGGAATTGGAAGCGCTCTTGGAGTCACAGGCCTTCCAATTGAGAATCAATTGATGTGGGCCAGGTCTTTCTACCAGTGATTGGGACAGTCAGGCAGCATGAAGTCCAGTAGTGTTGTTGCCCCAGGAGGAGCTCCAAAGGAAACTGAACGAGTCGCAGGTTGAAGCTACAAGACTGCGCAGTGAAGCTGCCAGCACTACAAGAAAGTGCTCAGCCAGTTCCATAGACCAGAGAGTCCACAAGATGAAAAGGGGATGGTAAGACAGGATCATGTAATTATGTGTCTTAAGATATGCCAAATTACTGAAAGTTATACATGTCGTCTATCGATCAGAGAGATTTTACAACAGGCTCCAGATGTTTTGGTGAGATTATGTCATGCAGACACCATCCAATTTGCCTCGATACAACGGACTCCCTCACCCAGACCGAGGCATATGAAGAAAGAGTCGCAAGGCTTGAAGAGGCGCGCCATTGGCCCATGGCCGGCATGGTGTGCGTCAGTCCGATGCACTAAGGGGAACATCTTGGAACTAGCAGAGCCATGATTAGTGATACTGTTTTCAAGAGCCTCTTATTGGATGTGAATGACGTGTAAATGCTTTCTACAAACTCTGTTGAAGTGAATTCAGGACCTCAAGACCTTGCGAAAGGAGGCAGTGAGAGGGAGGGTGGGCAATGAAAGTGGCGGAATTGGATGGGATTTGTACAGGCATTCACCAGTTCACCGACTGCCGCCCCCGCCAGAAGTCTTTTGTCAACGTGATAGCTTTGTCTGCAGGCAACTACGAACAAGACCTCTGACAAGGAAGTTGAAAGCCTGAAGGCAGCCAGCCCAATCCAAGTTCTTCTTTCTTAGCCGATCAGATTCTGTCACTGCGGAGGACTCTTGATTTAGATATCCAAACTCTGCTGTTTTCCCTACTTTTGAAGGCACAAGTCGACAGCAAGAATGAGGAGATCGATCGAATCAAGGTTCAGCATGGCTCGGCTTCACATGAACTCCTCGCGGGCGGTGCCATGCTGCAGGTGTATGAATCATATTTTCCTAGAAGATAGTTCTGCATGGACCAAAGCACGTCTAAACTTGCCACGTCATGCCACATCTTGTATTGAGGGCACCTGGATTTGCTGATGCCGTTGGCAAGGCAGAAGCTGCAGCAAACGCAGATCGCATGTCGAAATGGGAGGAGGAAGTGCCACGGCCTTTGTTGTGAATGACAGAGCGGTGCAGATCTTTCATGATCCTTGCGTGGATGCGGTAAGGCATGGACTCAGAGCCTTGGCAGGAAACTATGACGAAGCGAAGGCAGGATAACTGCAGCTGGTGCTTGTTAAGAGGTGACACCAACATATATGCATTGTGCATCATTGTGCAATGGCAGGAAACGATCTCGAAGCTGAAGAAAGAGTTGGAGGCGTCAGCGTCGAATATCCCAAGCAGTGTTGAAAAATATATATTGAAAAGCAGAACCTAATAACCTAGACCTTCACATCCACACATTGGCTCAAACCTTGGGTCTTCCATTGATGATGTGACCTCAAACCTGTCATGGGAAGCACGTGCTTTCCCTATGCCAGGAGAGAGGAAATGCCAAGAATTCGCAGGAATCCGAGGTACGCAGCGACTTCAACCCCCAGCCCTGGGTCATGAGCTATGAAGATAGCAGGGCGAGAGGGAGACATATGATGTACCATGAGGCACGTTGTTGCGCGTTGATGCACGGTGATGCACCCATAGGCGCATGCAGGCGCGCGCGCACACACACACACATACACATATGGCTATGGATCAATACCTATTAATACCATTTTTAGGGGAATGAACATCCATTTACCAGCTATTTTGATGTTCACCAGGGGTACCAGGGTTTTGACACACTGCCATATTAATATACATGCGCAGAGATGCTCATTGAAGCGGCAAGGCATGGATCTCAGGTCAAGAGATCGGCAAAGGGCATGATTGTACCATCTTGTGCCCATGTTTGCCATGGGGAAACTCTTCTTAAGCCATTGCTTGGGTTGTGTCCAGTCAGGAGATGTCAGGAATTGTCAGGACCATCCCTACCCTCTTAAAAATGGAATTTGAGGGGGGGTCGTACTGAAATTTCATTTTTAAATTCCATGTTTGCAATCGTGCTTTCTCAATGATCAATATTCCTCATCATTCCATGTCATTGGCAAGCAGATGAAAATTAAATACTTGCGCTTAGCTCCGCAGGAGCTAAGCACATATCAGGCTGAAGCAGCATGTGTGTAGGGATGGCATCCCTCCAAAAATTGCGCTGCCGTCATCATACTTGCGCTTAGCTCTGCCCAAGGCTTGTTAAGAAATGTTACTTTACAATTCCATTTGAGGGGTTGGATCACTATCCCAGGGTTTCCAAGCAAAAAAAATGGAATTCGACAGGTTGGTTTTGTCCCCACCCGCCCTCCCCCTCTATAGGGGTAGGGATTCAGGACCCATGCAAAGCAATTTAAAATAGGGATGCACAGGCCAAGCTGATTGGACAAAGTCTCTATATGGATCCTAGGTTCTTGAGATTGCAAGCAAACCTGCATGATTTCTGGGTGGCTTCACGTGTATACACCGCGCGTCATTCTGCAAAAACTAGGCTTGTAGAGCATATGGATGTTTCACATTGTTCTGTGCCCAAGGAGCTGTCAAAGAACCGACAGGACATCTGCATCAGCATCACAGCAAGTGCTAGTCATATAGTTCGGTTGACCAGCGGAGGGGAATGAATTAAGTATCGAACAAGCAAAGGGTTAAATGCTGTATTGCAATTTCTGTCCCTTGCTCAAGTCACACTGGAGTCGCCTTTAAGCTTCCAGTGTGTCAGGAGCTAGAGAGCATGAAGGCAACCGTGGCTTCTACACGGGAATCGTTGACCAGAGAGCTGGAGGCTGGCATGTCACGAGGTTTCATCTCACATTGGATCGGCGTTTGAAGACTCTTTGATGCAGGACAAGAGCAAGCTCCAAATGGAACTGTCTGAAGCACGTTCAGACTTGGCGAAGGCGTATCATACTGGTGCTAGTGCTGGGCCAAAGGTATTGCGGGAGATTCATTTTTGGGGCGTTTGGGTCAAAAGTGTGCCTTTGCTTAACCACGGAGTTTGTTGATGCTTGTGGCAGTAAACATGTGCATTTCCAGGTGCCAAATTTTGACCCACCCCCCGGACTGCAAATGCGTCACAGGCCTCTGGAAACAAGGCCCAACTTGAGGAGCTGAGACGAGAGCTTGGCGAGAGGCAAGCGGCAAAATCACTCAGTCAGCTGATGAAAGCGGCACTGGTCACTACCTGGTCGAATCGTAGTGTTTCAGGACCAAAGAACTTGCAGATGCGCGTGAAGCCATCGCAAGGGTCTCAGTTTTGTTTGGATCTGACCTGCACAATTTGTCAGATTGTTGAGGTGACAGCCAGTGCAAATGGTGCTGGAGAGCCACAAGCTCAGTGTCCAAACTCCCTCTTCTAGTATCAGGTCTTTATGTGAGAATCAGCCTTCCTTAGGCTGGACAAAGTGAAGTCTCAACTAGAAGAGGAGAAGAGGCCGACTATCACTTTGCAAAATCATGGCGAGGGTTCTAGTGAAACTCAACCTTAAAGCCTTAAAGTCAACCCAGAATTCTCTTGCCAGAACAATTGCGCCGTTTGAGTCCATGTGACATGATTAGACCATTTTATCAATGGATATTATACAGATATAATATGATATAATATATATAGAATAATTTAGTATATATTATATATGTATATATATGTGATTTATTTGTTTGAAATGATCTTGTTCAAATGATTTGTGGTTTCAAGTGTCACTAGCCTTCGCCAGGACCTCTGCCAGCACCTCAAGGAGCCTGGAGGAAGCCACCAGAGAAGTTGCCAGGCTGAAGGCTGGCGCGGCGACTGATTGAAATTGGTTTAAAATGGTTAAAATAGGCTAGTATGGATGATGAACTTTGACATGAACCTGTAGAGTATAGCAAGATATATATAGATATATCAAGTCTAGGATTTCTTGCCCTATGACATGTCACTTCATGCCTGAATCATGGTGGCCGAAGATGCGCAGCATTGCTGCACACCATGCTGTCAGTCACACCGTGCCGTCCATGTTGATCATGGCAACTGGCAGGCGCAAATCAACGAGGAGGAAAGCATCCGTAGCTCGATCAAAGCAGAGGCACCTGTCAGACCAAAGATATTGGAGACCGGCACTGGAAAGGTCAGATATATAAAGTTATATATAGATGAGTTTTGACTTCAATGAAACATTGAAGGGTTGGCTTGCAATAAACATTTTTTGCGACCGTTCTTTTGTTACGACAAACAAGAGTTGGTCCTGAAGGCTGAAGTAGAAGGTCAGCGCAAAGAGAAGGAAAAGTTTCAGGCGGGAAATCTCCGCTGCGAACATACCCTTTGAACACATTGCTGTTGCCCGTGTGAAAAGTGAACCGCAAGCTTCAAAGCCGACAGGGGAAAGAAGCCCCAAAAAAAACTTTTTGTGACAATTTTGATATACTTTGACTAAGAGTACGGTAACGACATTTTTATTAAATATGTGGAGGGCGGGCCAGACCGCGAGGCCCCGGAGGTAGTATGAAATACCAGTTCGTATATTTAAATGTAGTTGCAGTATGTTTAAATGAATTGGATTCCGTATGTTTAAATGGCTGGGTGGGCCAAGGAAAACCTTCCCGGAGGTAGTCTAAAATATACGTATGTATGTTTGTATATTTTAAAGTCCGTATATCTAAATGTAGTTACCGTATCTTTGGTTAGCACTCCTGACTGATGTTCCGAATCTGTCCAGGCTCTATTAGACCAGCAATCACAAGCTGCCAGACAGGACGGGATACGGCCGTGGAACTTCACAACATAGTGCAATATGACTGGTTGCCTGCGGCGGTTGCCACATGAACCTTTGCTGGATCAGGCAGAAGAACAACTCCAGCAAGAGCTCCTTCAAGAGAAGGAAGTGCGGAATCAACTTAAGGCTTGGAACAAGCCAGCAGAATTCGATTAACATCCACAATTTCCAGTCCACAAGTTGTACATGGAGTATCCTTATGTTGCTTCAAAATGTTCTGAGACTGGCTGGCACGTTCGTTGCACAAGCTGGACTGTGTGATTTGTCGGTAGGTTGCTCTCACATCTCAGTGTGCCTGTGTGTTTGGCAGGGGCAAATTGCTGACTTGAAGCGACAACTCGATATTAAGGCACTGACTGGGCTGGCAATGCTCCCAAGAAACATCTTGAACACCTACTATGTGTATGTGTGTGTGGTTTCATGCGTATCATATGTAATTATTCATATTTATTCATGGTTTAAACCCTTTCAAACAAGTTCAAGCAACAGACTACAACAATGCTCCAGGAAGCTTCTCAGCAAGAGCTCAGGAGCAATGCGATGTCAAGAGACCGCGAGACCAATACAAGATGAGTCAAATGTGTTTTTTTGCCCAAGAGCCCAACAAGTCAAGTCTTTCAGGACTCAAGAACAATTGGAGCAGGCGTTGGGTCATTGTATTCCACTGAAGTTCAGTACTGCAGCATTGGCTGCCATTGGTTGTGGTTATGCGGGAGATTCACTGGTTTTGGTTTGGATGTTTTGCTCTCAGCATGTCTCAGCATGACTTGACACAAGCATCCCTTCGAGACCTCAATTTTGGACAGCTTTCCACTTGTCAATTAGATTTGCTCGTTCAGGCTCTCAAGGAAATTGAAGCGCTCAAAGTGGAACTGTGCAACAGGACACATTCTGAATTTCCGCTTTCCAACTTGAAGCCTCGAAGCACAGTTCAACTTGTGTCCTTTCGATTCGGATGGTTTTGTTCTCTTTGTTAATGTCTGTTGTGTTTTGTTGCTCTAGGACATCGGAATGTGCTCAATGGCGGGATCAGGCCAGTTCTTTCACCTGCGCTTCCCCATTTGGTGATGAAATGACCCATGGAGGCACAGCGGGAAGACGCCCAGAGCAGTGCCGCAAAGCTAAAGGTTGAGGTGCAATGGATGCTCGTTTTGATGTTGCATTGTCCAGCAAAGTCTACATGCCGTTTATAATCTGTGAAATCTTTGTGCAGATGCGGATTAATTATTTGTCAAGTCAAGTCCATACCCCAAGAATGTACACTTGGCACACTTTAGCTGTATCGCCCGCAGACCCTTTCATATTCAGAATTTTATTATGCTTTGGGATTAGCAAGGAGTTGCTGCCCACATTTGGGGTGCAGTGCTTTTGAATTTGTGCCAGTGGTGTTGCACGCCCATGCTTCAGCCAATTCCCGCTGTTTCAAAATGGACTGCGCTACACGAGCAGATGGGGCGGATGCGATTACTGTAGTATTGCCAGATAGCACTTCAGTCATTCTACCACATGAGGTTCTGCCTTTGTCGCCCATGCTGTCATCACTTGAAGGTCTTTTTCTAGATGGGGAAGCTTTTCAGGTACCTTTGTCGGCAGGCCTTACGAAGAGGGGTCTGTCCTCATTGTCGGAATTCATTGGCAACTGCCTCCGCAGCGATGCCGCTGTTCATTCCAAGCTGCCCAACCAGTGGCCCTCGAACGAAGCAGCAGAATTTCTTCGAGCAGCCAGTTTTTTTGATGTTCAAAATGCAGTAGAAGCTGCAGCTGAGACGATGGCTACCAGACTGCTTAACTGCGAAAGTGAGGCTGAAGTGCACAGTTTGGGAGCCAATAAAGGATCCTATGGAGCCAAGAGTGACATTCCACTGACAGACGCTGAAGATGTTCAGAAGCTAACTGCGTTGTGTCCAACTCTTGGGTTACGGGGTTTGGCCTTTGCCAAGCTGGCATGTGCTGGTGATGGGTTGCTGCCACAGTTTTCCATGGATTTCTTGGGCAGCGTTTTAGAGAAGGCGGAGAGTAAGGCAAAGGAAGCACCAGAGATCCACCAGCTTCGACGTGTCTTGTCGCGATTTGGCCGTGGATCCTTGAGACGGAAAATATTGGCACTGGAGGATGTGGCGTGTGAGAAGAACCGGGGCAGCTCAACAATCATTGCCCTAGTTCTGGCATACTCGGAGGATCAAGAGCCAGAGGTTCGCGCCAGCTGCTTAGAGACCTTGTCTGAGTTGGTACCAAAGGAGATGTATGGCAATGGCCTCCATGGCCTCAATGAATCCATCTCAGCTGCTGTGACTTTGCTTTGCGACGCATCGCTCAAGGTCCGAGAAGCAGCGGTGGACGCATTGCTTTCCTGGTCGCCTTTAGAGCCTTGGGCGATTCTGAAATTGGAGCAGTTGGTGCGCCAGAAGTCTGGATTGGTCAAGGCAGCTGCAGTTTCAGCAATCGCTGGTTCTGTTGAGGTCATGGAGGCCCCTGAAACACGCACTCTCCTGTTGTCCTGCTTGGAGGATGTGAATAAAAATGTGCAATCGGCTGCTGCTATGGTATTTGGGCGCTATGCCAAGCATTCTTTGAGCGTTGGAGATGTTGATGTGGTAACCAATCTTGCTGATGCTATTTCGGACAAGCTTCAAAGTCGACGGCAGTGGGTCAGATGCGCAGCAGCAGTTTCTTTGCAGAAGGTGTTGCAGCATTTTGACCAGCCACACCTGAAAGCAAAGAGTTCCTTGCTGGCTGCTTTTGCAGATTCCAGCTCTGCAGTTCGTTGTTCCGTGGCGCACGCGTTGCCCTATGTTTCTCCAAATGACTTCGAAGTTAGCCAGACACTGGTGACAGCCTTGCAAGACAGCCAACCCGCCGTATGGAGCACTGCCCGAGACGCACTGGTGATGATCGCCAACAAATCCAACTGGCAAGGATTGGTACAGAAGCTGCTTGAGTTGATCGATTCCGGTGTTTCCCAAACGAGATGTGTTGTGCTGGAGACCTTACACGCAATTTTGGGTAGACGACATTGTGACCCAACAGACCTGGGTAATTTTTCAGAGTCTTTCACCAGTCTGATGACCAACTCCCTCTGCCCCAGACTCATGGACACAGATGGTTATGTGCGGATCGCTGCAGCTCGGACAATTGGACGTCTCACTGTGGTGTTGGGAAAGAGCGAAGATTTCGCAGATCTCTTGGCCACGGTTGCAGCTGAAGACGATGATGATGATGTGAAGGCTGCAGCTTTGGAAGCACTGACAACAGCGGCAGGAGTTGGGGATTTGAAGGCTACCAGGGTTGCAGTGGAAGCATCAAAACATAAATCGACCGAGGTCCGACGTCAAGCTCTTGCTGTTCTTTGCGCTTTGATACCTTTTGCCCCTGATCAGATTGAGAGTGTGCTGTCCGCGGTGTGTGCTCGGATTTCCGACTCCAACGACCACATCCGGCGTTTCGCAATGGAAGCTCTGCCTGAAGTAATTCAGGGAGATGATTCTGCTGGTGTAACAGCAGTGCGTGCTTTGGGTGCTGTTGCAAGAAGACGATCTTCTTCAGATCAGATGGCTGTCTGCGCACTGGAGTCTATTGCTTGCGTTGCTCGCCTTGGTGGGCCAAAGACAAGGGCTAGTGCTATATCGCCAGTGGCAGCCTGTCTCAAAGATGAAAACTGGATTGTTCGGGAAGCAGCAGAAAACGCTGCATGCACCATGAACATCACGATGCCAGACGTCGATACACCGCCTGCCTTTGTACATAGTAGTTTTCGTGGCAGAAGAAGCGGTTCGACCTCAAGTAGCTCTGTCAGCAGAATCAAGGATGCTGGGAGCCCTTCATCAAGTGTTTCAAGAAGTCGCAGCAGATCAAAGGAAAGAAACCGTTTTTAGATGTTTTTAGTCTTCGAAGCTTTGACCAAGGAGTTGGGAACGACCCTGAAGTTCTGAAGGTGTGTTTTGTATTGTTTTGTATTGTTTTGTATTGTTTTGTATTGTTTTATGATGTTTTATATTATGTTTTATGCAGGGATCCTGTACCAGCAGCATAGTGACTCAGTGCAGATTGTTTTTTCACCATTTTTCACAGTTGGAACATGTTGGAACCAGGCCAGGCTATGGACCAATTTGGAAGCCTCCTACCTGGTCCTACCTCAGGTGGCTACACTGAAAGCCGAGCTGGAGACTTGGAGAGCTGAATGTGGCCGCTTGAGCCAGGCCGGCCAGGCTCAAATCAACGACCGGGCGCTTGGCGCTTTGGTTCATATAGTGACACTATTTGGATCATTTGGACCATTATGATATTCCTATGATATTCCCATTATATCCCCATCTATTTGGATCATTTCGGATTTATGTGGTGATGACCTGGTGATGTTTGATCATTGAATTGTGATGCTTGATGCCCTTGATGCTTGCGCAATCATTCACTTAACTGTTACATCCGTTGCTCAAGCCTCTAGCTGGGCAAAGGAATGAGATACGTCAAGATACGTCTAGTCATCCTCACCCAACATGAAAACAAAAACTGGCTCCAATTCCGAATCTTGGTGAAGTCTGTCAGCGGTGAATGGAGTTTAAATCGCCTGCAAAGTCTCTGGAGTTTAAATCGCTGTCGACCACCGAAATCCAACGCTTTCTGGGTCCCTAGTCCGACGGTGGGTCGCCTCTGATTTGGAAAGCACAAAATCTCAAGTTGGACCAGGATGACCAGGGGCAGCACTTCATGATTTACTCTCTGGTTCAATCTGATTCAGGCTTCACAGACCGAGCTGCCAAAGATGCAGGCACTGCTGGAGGCACTGGTCATTTGGATCCGAATGCTGTGCGAAGATGTTGGAAGTGGCTTAGGACTTACAGGGTATATAGAATTTGTGTGTGTGTACACTGCTAATAACATGCAGTCTAAATATTGATTTGGCAGGGGAGTGCGGCATGATTGTGGGACCGCACTCAACGAAGCTACCACAATCATGGGATACTGGGTCTGATCAACCCAGCGTACCTGCATCAGAGGATAGCGACCGGCTAAGCTGAGAACCGGAAACTAAGTAACTTCGATATAGCATCCGGCTAAGCTGAGAACCGGAATCCATTTTTCATATTTCATAATTCATGCCTCATGTCCTATGATCCGTTTCAGGCCCTTTATTCAGGAACTGGTGGTGTTCTTTTACTTCTCCTCACTACGATCGAATCTACATATCCCACAGTGTGTTTCGGGTACTTTACCTCACTTGGTAGTACCGTCTGTCCGTTTCGACGGATATGAAAGTTATGACCGGGCATTTTCCCGGCTGCAGAGTGGGATGTCGCCAACATCCTGAAGTTCCCTTTGCATATTACATGCAAAAGAAGTAGACAATGTCAAGGTGGACATTGAAGTTCGTCCAACACATATTGACAGCCATAAGGCGAAGTTTTGCCTAATTGGCGAAGTACCCACAAGGGAGAAGTTGTCGTATGACGAAGTACTTTGAATGCGCACTTCTTCCAGTACATGTGGTCATATCCTCAGTTTTGTGTGCTCTTATGGTATGATCTAATTCTACATTTAACCTTAGAGCCGTAGTTTCGAGCCATGGATTTTCGAACTTTTGCGAAATCATCGGGACCTCCCCCGAATTTGCTGATTCCTCCGGGAGTGATCCCACAGTGTTTCGCAGCAGTTGAACAATTTACGTATGACTGAATCTTCTATGTCTTCAATGTTGCGTACCCAACAAGAGCATGCTCGTTCATTGGAACGAATGGCAACGATGCAAAGACAGATCATTGAGATGCAACAAATTCAGACTCAACAGTTGCATTCTATGCAACAAATGATGTTACCATTGGCTTTTCAATGCAATGCATTCATGTCTTCCATGTCTTCTTTAGTGCCTGGTGTGGGAACTTTGTTTACTCAGCCGCTCACATTTGTCCAATCAGCATTGGGATCGTCGGGGACCTTGTGTGATCCTTCTCATGGACTACCTGGAAGCAGTCCGGGACCCTTGGTGCAGTCTGCTGTTCTACCAGCTGGTCCGGGACCTTCCGTGCTTACTCCAAGTGGTCCGGAACCCAAACGTCGTCGTCTTGATCTCCAACCAGATCCTCTTCATGAGCTACAGAGTGCTACAAGCTCAGTTCAGATTCCGCGCTATGGTCTTTACTATCATGTGAAGCAATCTGGAACAAGCAATACTCCTGAACGAATTTGGTCTTCACTTAGTGAGCGAGTGGTACCAGCAGTCCGCAATGAGACTGTCTGTTTTACCATTGGACGGACTCAGACTGATGATCCTTTTCAGACCAGTCATGAAGTCAAAGAAATGGTCCACCCTCAATTGAAGACACAAGGATTTCAATTTTGGGTCGCTCTTCCCGTGGCGACATTTTCATCTGAATTATTAGTGGGTGCAAACGATTTGTTCAAGACGATCGACATTCTTTTTCTTTATCAACAGATGCTTCGTATTCACAAATCAATTGCTGATAATCCATTTCGCGTGAAGAATGCCTTTGAAGATGGAATGCTGATCGAAGATACGAGATGTCAACAATGGATGCCTAATGCTGACCATTTTAACTCCTCCCGTGGTTACATTACTCATGAAGATGCAGTGAATCACACTCAATTTTGGTATGATTACATTTCGACTGACTTGAAACATCGATTTTCTGCACAACTACGTAACCCTGTTTTGCGTGATTCTGTTTTGACATCTCTCCGCTTTCTGGTTACTGCTTTGGGACGTTACAGCAACAATGTTTCATTGGTTGAGAAATTTGAGATCATGTTCAACTCCCAGCAACAGCCTATTGCGATCTATGCGCACTTGGCACTCCCGCAGTGGCCTGCGGACAATTTTGATATTTTTCAGTACTTTGGATTTGGCCATAGTACACCAGTATTGGGAATGGCCTCAGCTGTGCGAGAAGGGGTCGTTCGACCATCATCATGCGATGTACGGAGCCCAGACTGGCTGACTCCCAATACCTTCTACTCTCGGGGAGTACTGTTCAATGATGATTCTTCCTTTTCTAGGAAACATGTGCTAAAAATTTTGGAACAAGCCAAGAAATTTGGTGGCCTCAATACTGCTCGGCCTATTTGTATTGTTGGTCGTGCTTTTGCACGTCAAGCACACATTCGGACCCCACAGGGTGGAGTTTATGCAGATCAATTGTTGGGCTATTTCTTTGATGTTGTGCATGGATCAGATTCTCGTTGGGCATTTCGATCTCACCTTTCGACCATTCATGGAGTGGCTACTTTCATTTCGTAGATTCTTGCCAGATGTAACAATTCATGCTATGATATAAAAAAGATGTCTGTGCTGCCTCTTACCCAGGAACCACTCAGGACGATTCTACCAAGGCAGCAGCGGCAACTTTGGGTCGGGACAAGGCTACACCTTCGCCTTCAACACGTGTGGAACCTCCAGTCATCCCCGCTCTTCAACAAACTTATTCCTGGGGATCAGGTTTTCGCAATTCGACATTGAGCAAATGATATATTTTGCCTAAACCTACCCGTGATTTTGTAAAAGCTCGACCAATTGTGCATTATTCAACAGCATGGGCTAGGAAATTGAGCAGTGCGATTTCTACCCTTCTGATCGAAATTTTGAACACTGTCTTTCGGTCCATTTTGGAATTTCCAGATGTACGAGCTGTTATTGAAGGAATTCGTCGATAGTTTACTATGGAGTCCTTCGCGGAGTCTGCGCATTGCTTGCATCAAGCAGGCATTGCTGGTTTTTATAATCAAGTACAACTTTCCGGAATTTTGATGTCATTGTGTTTGTCGTGTATACGTATGCACAGAAAACCGAACAAGGTTTAGACACTGTCCTGCAGGCTCACATTCACAAGTTGGAACGTTATCTCAAAACAATACTTTTCTGTTACATTGAGACACATTCCTGCTATTGTTCAATACTTGCTTGATAATTCCTATTTTACGGTCGGGAGCCAAGTATTTCGACAATGTCGGGGAGCCAGTATGGGATCTCAGTTTGCACCTGTACTTTGTTCAGCCGTGGCTTTACAACGTGAATGGAACTATCATCTCTCTTTTTCACCCTTCACTTGGGATCGTTCGTTGCATCATCGATATGTGGACAATCAAGATTTGTTAGGCTTGACGCAGTCTTGACTTCCTGATCTGTTTACAACCAAGAAGTCCCAAGATTTAAAGAGTTTTCTCGGACGGCTGTTTCAGTGTCGTTCCGTAGATCACTTGATGCATTCGGGTTGCATCCTCAATGCGGTTTTTGGATCTATTTTGGAATTTGCACATGTTCAAGATGTCATTACTGGTATCAGTGCATTATTTTCTATGGAGGATTTTGCAGAAACTGCCTTTTCCTTGCGTCAAACAGATATCGCTGGTTTTTACAATCAAGTTGAACATGATCGTATTTTGTTGGCCATACAGTTCGCTGTATTCACCTTTGCTTCTCAGTGTGAACAAGGATTAGATACTGTTATGCAATCACATGTTGTTCGTTTGGAACGGATTCTTCGTGTTTTTTCAAGGATCTTGGAGAGAAAAGACGAAACAATATATGACTATTACTTTGCGTGATATTCCTAGCTTGGTGCAATATTTGTTGGATCATTCGTATTTCACGGTCGGGAGCCAAGTATTTCGACAACGTCGGGGTGCCAGTATGGGATCCTAGTTTGCACCCGTTCTATGCTCTGCAGTTGCACTTCAACGAGAATGGAACTTCGCAATGTCATTTTCTCCATTTACTTGGGATCGTTCTCTACATCATCGATACGTTGACAATCGTGTTTTGTTGATTTCTCGCCATAGTCGAAAGCTATCACATATTCAGGTTTTCTGGAATTTACAATTTTATTCTGCTCCCATTTTGTTGGAAGTGGTTGCTGGACAGGAGGCATTAGGTTTCCACCTTGATACGTTGCAACAGACTATCACTTTGGAATTACCTTGAAACAAACCTTTACGATCTATGCGAAGTGCTAGTACTTCTCGTGCTATCCTGAGTGGACTTTGTGCTCGTCTGCGCCTCATTCGTTTTCATGTTTTTCCAGCCAAAATTCAGTTGGGCCAGGTTCAGGATTTTCTGGGCCTTATGTATCAACGAATTCCTGAATTTTTCACTGATGCGAATATATGTTTAATCCATCGTTTTCTTCGTAGTCTTTGGAAGGACCAACCCGTACAATCTTTGATGCAGTGGTGTCGATAAAAAGAGCTTTACTGTGCTTCTTACTGATTCGCCTCTCATATTGAGAGGCCATGTGTGTGTGTGTACACTGCTAATAACATGCAGTCTAAATATTGATTTGGCAGGGGAGTGCGGCATGATTGTGGGACCGCACTCAACGAAGCTACCACAATCATGGGATACTGGGTCTGATCAACCCAGCGTACCTGCATCAGAGGATAGCGACCGGCTAAGCTGAGAACCGGAAACTAAGTAACTTCGATATAGCATCCGGCTAAGCTGAGAACCGGAATCCATTTTTCATATTTCATAATTCATGCCTCATGTCCTATGATCCGTTTCAGGCCCTTTATTCAGGAACTGGTGGTGTTCTTTTACTTCTCCTCACTACGATCGAATCTACATATCCCACAGTGTGTGTGTGTGTTGTGTACTTGAAATTTGGAATGACGACTTTCATGAGGGTTTTCATGACCCGTCACAATTCACCTTGCATGTGAGGAAGAAAAAGTCGCAGCAAGCCGCGCCAAAGCAGAGGCCTGTGGAGCAGCTATAGGTACATTCTTTCGCGCAATTTTCTTGCAGGGTGCCTAAACATGTCCCAAACCAGTAGTTTTATCATGTTTTACCAGTCAGTTCTATTCATTCTTCATCTATCTCTGCTGATTCTGGATTTCAATTTCAATCATTCGTCTTAAACACTGGTTCTTGACGCTTCTGGCATTTTCAAGATTGTCCAGGCCATAGAGGGCATGGCACAGATCAAAGCACAGGCCAGTCCTGGTTGGTGTTTGGCTTCTATTGAAAATCGCCGATTATTGCGTATAAACATGTATATACACTGTATAACAATGTATAACAAACATGATTAATAAACAATCTCAAACAATCTCCAGCAAAAGCCTGCTTGTTGAGGCCGCCGCTACAGCAGCTGAGCTTGAAGCTCGCTCCAAGGAGTTTGATGCTTAGCCACGCTTAGCCTGGGACGGGGGTGACCATCACGGCATCCCAACCTGTAACGACAGGTGTGGCCGCCTCCGCGCCGAAGTGCAAGCTTGCAGGTGGGCGAAACGTGTAGTTCCCAATATGGCTATGGATCAATACCTATTAAATCCTATTAATATCTATTAATACCATTTTTAATGGGATGAACATCCATTTACCAGCTATTTTGGGGCTCACTAGGTACCAGGGTTTTGACCCATCCCCAGATGAAAGCTGAGCACATAATGTAGCCAATCATGCCAATCAATTTCACTTGATGTCTGTGCAAAAACAAGCTCTCCGCAGGCCAAACGGAAAGCTGTCGCAGGATGAGGTCAGCTGTGTCAGTCAGTCCAATGTGGCTGCCCTGTGCTCTCAGGTTTCGGAAAGATTATGTTTCCCAGTATTGGTTTAAGGGAGAATCTGCGGGAAACCCCTATGTTTGAGTGCAAAAATCATGGTGATCATGGTGGTTTCCTAGAGATTCCGTAGATTTTGCCTTCAGCCACTCCCAGGTTGTGGAGGGACCTCCCAAAAAAATCCAAAAAAAAAATATACCCACTGAATCGGATGTTCCAGGTGCGCGAGCTCGTTGCTTTGCGGGCAAAAGTCTTGGAGCTGGAAACTGAGGCCGTAGATGCGCCTGTTGGCTATAGAAAAAATGAACGATTTACAGATTAGAAATGGATAAACATGGTGGTTTTCCATAGCTATGTGAGATTACCAGAGGGTATGAATTTTCGTTTTTGCTACTTCACAAATCTTATTCAAGCATACGTATAATTAATCATTCGTATGCGCCATTTACATCCGTTTACCCAATTCCATTCACATCCAGTCCATTTACTAATCTTCTCCAAAAGGGGGATTGGAAACCATACCCCAACAAAATTGTTGGCAATGAAAAACCTGTATCATTGGGGTTACCACATAATGAAGCAGAAATTTGCCGATGATTGATCGGTATAAATTACCCAAAGATTCACTTCAAACAGTGCTGCCTCGGCAGGCAGAGGCATTGCGCCAGGTGCCGCCAACTCTGCTCGGTGTCGGGGCAGCAGAATTCTTGGGTTGATTATAGTATTATAGTGCAATATATAATTATATAATGTGTATATTATCCATGACTTCCATGATTAATTCCATAATTCCATGGTTAATTCAGTTGATTCACAATGATTCATAATTCAAGGTTTAAGTCATGGTTTATCATCGCAGCATCACCACGATTGAATATGATTGAACTCGCAAGACATCCAAGACATTCCAAGACTAATCAATAGCTGCCACGGCATAGATTCGCTCTGCCAAGCAACTTGTAGCCCGCATGAGCTGGATTATGGAGGCTCAAAGCATCACGAATCCGGATGAGCAGAAGATTCGATCCATGGTGAAGGCCTGAAATATCCTGAAATTTCAAATCGCTGACAGAGGCTGCCATGAAATGCCAATTTTTTGTGCTCATGTTTCATGCTTAACTTTGGTAAGTGCATGGCATCATGGGCCACTACTCCCGCCCGTGCAGGACCGTGACGACACCATTTTGCGGCTCCGAGCGGTGGTGGCCTCAAGATTTGCCGGGAAAGTGGCAATGGCTCCGCCTCAAGTTCACAGATCTGACCTCGGGCAGCGGGCAGTATCCATTCACCAGGGGTACAAGGTTTTGACACACTGCCATATAAGTCCAGACATGATTGTGTTTGTGTCAGCTACCCCTTGCTGACCTCTGACTTCTTAGCTACCTTTGCTCGACACTTCTGCACACGGATGTGTCAAAGCCAAGTCTTTTTGACATCAAGACAAAAGCCTGAATCAAAAGTTTCCCAGCAGAACCACAATGAATATATAACTGCTTCACATCGTTTCTTTGTATCTGAATTCAAGAGGCTACGGGTCCTTTACGCTTCGATGATTTCCGGCTTGAAACAACCGATGCCGCATGCTAGAAGACAATGCATGAAACAAAACAATCTATTGCCACAGAGCCTGAACGTCATTCCAAATCGGACCTACTTACTTTAGTACGGCAGCTTGCCAAATGTTTGATTTCGCGGATCTTAGTGATGCAGAGAATGGTGATGAAGGCCTTGGCGAATCACCCGAAGAAGTTCAGCAGCATCGGAAGCCAGATGCATCCATCCGATTCTGTCCAGGAGATGTTGTGAAAGCCCGCTTTCAGCAAGGATGCTGGTACTTGGCCAGCATTGTCAGAAAGAACTCTGATGGTACTTACCTGATTTCCTGGAACGATGGAGATCATCACGATCGAGTGAAGGAAAGTGGGGAGCTCATCTACATTCGGCCGGGGGACTCCAAGATACGGGAACCCAGACAACCTGTGCCAACCAACCCGCAGGACACATCGCCAGAGCCACAATGGCGACATAGCCAGGCTGGAGCTGAAGCGAGAGAAAGCGAGGAGACAAGGAGCAGAGGAGACTCTCAGAGGGACTCAGGGTCAGGGTACCAAAGCGTGCCTGAGGACAGAGAAAGTCAGAAATGGAACGAGTGGGACGCTCAGCAGAGGCGTTTTCGAAAGGAGCTGGAGCAGCGTGAAGAGAGGGAGGATCAGAAATGGCTTGAAGGCCGCATGGCAAAGTTGCAGATGGAGCTGAGAGAGATTGATCAATTAGCTCCAGGAGTCAAGAAGGCACGGCTGCGAAAGTTGCAGTTGGAGCTTCATCCAGACAAACAGCCTGAGAGAATCCGAGCAAAAGCCCAAGAATTGTTCCTCCTCGTGCAAGGGAGATGGGAAGCCAATGAAGCAACCTTCCAAAGAGAAGCGCAGGTCAAGACAAAGCATGAAGAAGAGCGGGCCCAGCAAGCTGCTTGGGAGGCTAGGGAAGAGCGAAGACGACGACAAGAAGAGCGCGAGAGGCAGGAGAGGCAGGAGAGGCAGGAGAGGCAGCGGGAAGAAAAAGAGCGAATTTTGAGAGAGGAAAAAGAGCGGCAGGAGAAAGAAGCCGAAGAAAAGAGGCGCCACAATGCTGAAAGTCGAGCCAAACAAGCTGAGCAGGAGCTGAAGAGGTTCAAGGAGGCTGCAGCTCGACAGCGGAGCAAACAAAATGAAAAGAGTGAGAGCGCATCTCATGGCAAAACTCAGAGCAAAAGCGCTGAGTCCTCAACAACATCGTTTGCTTACAAATCCCAGTACGACCCATCTGCTCCGCAGGCCGATTCTCCATTTTTATCTCATGGTCAAGCAGGTCATCAAAAGGAAAATGCTCCGCCAAACAAAGAGGTCGGCTCTTCCATTCATGTACGTTTGCGCATAAATGGGATCAACTCCAATCGACCTACATTCTCTGTCAAAAGCACAGCAACTGTCGGGAGTATCAGAGAGTCCCTTCAATCTTCCAGTGGGATTCCCATTCCTTTGCAAAAACTCTTTATCGGTGAGCGCGAACTTTTTGATTTTGAGACACTGAAACAGCTGCTGAGATCTGGCAACACACTTGACTTAGACATTGCAGAGGTGCCGCAAAAAGGCAGTGCCTTAGCAGACCGTATTCGGAGAAATTGGCGCATGTTGCAGCATGCGCCAGAAGAGATGAAGTCTGATAAGCATTTGGTGCTGGAGGCAGTGAAACAAAGCTGGGAGGCATTGCAATTTGCTGCTGACCGCCTCAAGAGAGATCGCGAAATAGCCTTTGCTGCTCTGGAACAAGACGGTTTGGCTTTGGAACATGTATCCTCGACACTGCACAGTGATCGTGAGATCATGCTTGCTGCCGTGCAAAGAACATGGCGAGCCCTTCGGTATGCCACATTTGAAATTGCATCAGATGTCGAGATTGCTTTCATGGCTGTCCAGCAAGACTGGCGTGCACTGCAATATCTTTCCTCAGAAAACCGGGACAACAAGGAGCTGCTGGAGACAGCAGTTCAACAGTCTGGCCTTGCTTTAAGATATGCCTCCAAGCGTTTGCAAAAGGATCATGACACTGTTCTTGCTGCAGTGAGGCAGAATGGCAATGCATTTTCTCATGCCGCTGCAGAGCTTCGCGCAGATCGGCAATTTGTCCTGGCAGCAGTGTGGAAGAACGGTGCAGCTCTTCGCTACGTTGATCCGGACTTACGAGCTGATAGGGAAGTGGCCCTTGCTGCAGTTTCAGGCTGGGATTGACATCACTCTAGTGCCACAGTTCAGTTCCAGATTAGTTCATATTAGTTCTGGGTTCTGAACATCTCCACCAGCTGAGAAGTCTGGGAAATTTGAGCTCGCCGAAGTCTAAAAGCTAAAATGTGCTCAAGACGTGAAAGGAGCCAGGTTCACTGAGTGTTGATGATCTTGATGGAAACAGGTGCATGTGCATTACTTCACAATACCTCACCACAATATTGGAGCTGCACAATTGTAGCATCATTTTGAACTTGAGGGTATAGACTGCAGATCAAGTCCTTGCTGCTCCTCCAAACTGTTCAAAGCTACCTGCTGGTTGCACGGAAGCTTCTGAATCTGGACCCGTCTCCGAAGGAGCTTGTTCATGCTTCGACGCGACACTCGCAAGAGCTGGAGGCCTGCGGTGATAAAAGTATTGAAGAATATGGAATAATTATGGAATAGTTATCATATGTTATCATCCATGAAACGTATTTTAATATCCGTTAAGAATTAGGACAGAGGATTCCAAAACGCTAGGAGTTTGGTGATCCTGGCAGGACCTGCAGATCAAAGTCAACGACGCTCGTCAAGAAGAAAGGCAGCGAGTTGTTTTGTTGCTCTCCCGGAGTTGTTTGAAGGGCAACATGCAAAAAAAACATGGAAAAAAACATGGAAAAACCATATTTGATGTTCAAAAACGTGTCAAAAGCCATGGTTTCCTGAAGATGTTCCCTTCTATCCATTGATGCAATGATCTTTGAAAAGATTGCAATTGTATTGCGGCGTGGGTTTCCCTGGAAGGCAGCGCAAGTCGGACGAGAGCAGCTACATCATCGGGGATCTCAAGGTTGGAATCTAAAAGCAACCCAGCCTGAACACATCTCAAAGCATGCGATGATACTCCTGCGCTGAAGATGACTGAACACATTGAAGATGATTGAAGGTGATTGCAGATGATTGAAGTAAAATTCAACATATTCGAACTCTGCGCCGCAATGCGGACGCATGTGGACGCTGCAATTCTGGTCAGGGACAACTGCGCTCAAAAGCTGCTGAAATAGAGCAACTTCATTCGGAGGCCCTGCTTGGAATCAAGGAGATTTAGATAGCCCAGGGAAGTGGAGGAAAAACTCTTTATCAAGTTTCCAATAGTTTCCATCATCAGCTGATAGCATCATTTTTGCTGTGATTTTTTTGGCGGTATTCTCAGTATGCTGTTTGCTGACTGCAAAAGGTCCGGATTGGTAAGAGCGAGCTCGAACGGGTTCGCACTGAAGTACGCCATGCGGAGGCAAGTTGCAACTTCTTTTCGTGCATAGGCAGCAGCTACGATGAAATGTGGTGATCGCTACTAGGCAGGAACAGGCACCCTTGAAGATAAGATTATGATTCTGATGATGATGTTTACCAAATGAGAAATGCCTATACTATAGATGGTTTGCCAGTGTCGAAAGCTCTGCCTGGCATTCTCAGTCGATTGAAATGTTCATCTCCCTGTGCCAGGCTCGCGCAACTGCGCGCGAGGTTGCCAACATTGAAGTCGCAAAGGCCCCATGATTTGCACGGCAACACTGTCCAGACTATGCCAGGATGGGCGAATGGAGACGCCGACATGACAGAGAATGTTCTTACACGTTCTTACAGCACAATGGTATTGGATGGTATTGGCCTTGCAAAAAGAAGAAACGCCATGATCGCTGTGTGAACCTCAAAATTAAGTTGCACTTGTGACCAGTGCTCAGCTACCTACCTGTTGGTTCCGTTCAAGTGTGTGTTTGTGTGTAGTGATTAAAACATATTAAAACCAGTGCAAGCTTGTCCTTACGCGAAATGTCCTTCCAGGCTGCAGTTGCCGGTGATTGGAAGAAGGAAGTGGACCGACTCCAGGCACGTTGATTTCACGTCACGCGTCGCTTGATTGCCAGCAGAAGAGGGTGCTGAGAAGCAGGAAAAGAAGATGTAGCAAAAATATACTATGATGGATTATGATGGTTTCTTCAATTATATAAATCCCAAAACCATCCAAAATCAGTGGCTTTAAGTAGGGGCAAAACCAATGGTTTGGGTTATTGATGGGTATCCCATGTTTAGAAACCCACATATCACAGACAAATGATGACAAAGGTTGTGGACAATTTCTCGCTGTTTGTCACATCGTGTTCACCACCAGGCTGAGCTCCAAAGTCGATCAGCCGACGCCGCTTTGGCCAAAGAAAAGGCACCATTCTTTTGTTCACTTGATGGGCTACAATATACTGTAGGTTTGCTCCAAGCTATGTCAGTGCATTTGTCTGGAGTTATGGCAAGTTTCATGACGAAGAACAATGATGATACAGATTGATAAACCATGAGATTCAATAAGCAGTCAAGATTGTATCTAAAGATATCTTCACCAACGCCCTCCCGTAGGCTGAGCGCCTTGCCCGAGAGGCGGGAGGATTTTTCTTTGGGCCCATGCTATGACCATTTCCACCGCCATAGTTTTGGTCTATTTCCTGCATAAATTGTGTTGCGATGCTGTTGCATTTGCAGGTGCGCCGGGTCCAGCAAGAAGAAAGCCGAGTCGCAAGGGGTCAAGAGGCGGAAAATCATCATTGAGAAGATAAGGTGTGTCCACAAAGTGTGCCTGGACAGGCGCTGCGCGGGGAACTAGAGCAGGCCTGAAGACATATGGAAGACACTGGCATACCAAACCATAATGACTGAGATTGTTTTTGGCATCAACAGATTCAGCTGGCCATCGTTTTGAGGCACAAGAAAACACCAACTTGGTACGGGAAGAAGTGGCTGACGCCGAGCGCCGGTGTGAGGAGAGCTTCAGCTGGTCTGAGAGCATCTTCTGAATCACTACTCACTACTCCTGTAGAGTGTGAAGCTAGATCCATCCCCAAAGCCGTTAACATCCGTTAATGATGTGGCAGATTTTGAGAGATGTCAGATGTCATGTTTGTTTTTGTTGCAGCCTGTCACAAGCAGACTTGAATGTTCGTTTGATCAGCACGCTTGACATAGCTTGACATAGCCACCAGCACTATGAAGCGCAGGAGGCACGAGCTGCCACGAGGGCAGAGCGCTCTGCCCGTGCTCATGCAGAGTCCCAGGTCCGCGAATGTCAACGGGAGCTTCGAGCTCGCACCCCAATGCAATTGTGACTCTGCAGATTTGTTTATAGTTGTTTCATGTTGTTTCCTTCATGAGTTTTCACGAAAGCTAGCCGCTAGCTGGAGTCTTCTTGCTTTAGCAAGTATTCCGGGGGCTGCTCAAGGACATCACGTGATTTTTCACGCGAAAGGAGGGGGACCCCCCCCACAACCACCCACCACCACCACCACCACCACCATCATCATCATCATCATCAGCGTCATCATCATCGTCATCATCATCGTCATCATCATCGTCATCGTCATCGTCCTCGTCATCATCATCATCATCATCATCATCATCATCATCGTCCTCGTCATCGTCATCGTCACCGTCATCATCATCATCATCATCATCATCATCACCACCATCATCATCATCATCATCGTTATTCAATTACATTTTATCATTATTGGCAATTATTGGCATTATCACGGAAGCTAGCGTCAGCTCGCTAGAGTCTTCTTGTTTTAGCAAGTATTCCGGGGCTCCCCAAGGACATCACGTGATTTTTAACGCGAAAGGGCCCCCCCTGCCCCCTCCCCCATATATATATATATATATCATTGTTATAATATATCATATATCATATATCATTGTTGCATCCTCGTTGGGACGAACAATGCCGCGACACGATGATGACAGTCCCTCCGCAACTCACCTCTTCCCTTCCTTCTTTCTCCTACCCCGCTAGCTTTCGTCATCCACCCCCGGCCTCAAGTCCTTTTTGCAAAAATTTGAAAAGTGAATCTACGTGAAGGATCTTACAAACTGATCCGAGGTGGTAAAGGCCCAGTTGCAGGAGCAGGTTCTGAAGCTCAGCACATCTCTGCAGCCACCGTCTCTTTTCCACTGAAGATCCATGACGTTTGATTCAGGTCGCAGATGCAGAAGTGATTCGAAATGAGGCAGCAGATTGCTGTCGCTTGAAAATGTTTGAAAGATGGCCCAATCGAATTTGAAGAATCTGGTGGATTTGACACAGGATAGTCGAGAGTGTAGCGATACTTTCGGATTTGGATTCCATACAAATATATTGTAATATCATGTAATATCTCTGTTTTGTTCAGCGAACTGGCTCGCTCTCTAAACCACTTACCAACTCGCTAAACAGCTCACCTGCAACCGACTTTGCAGACGAATGGAGAGTAAGACACTCAACACTTCCTAGTCAACTACAGCAACAAATTCTCAATCGCGTCAATGTGAAAACTGAAACTGTCACCATCATGAAACACCCGTGCAAACAATGGTGAAACTGAAAACATGTCTTGCTTTGTAAGTATTGAATGCCGGGAGTGCAACAATGGTGAGAAATGTCAGTCTGTCTGGAAGTGGAGGTTTATGTGTAAACCACAGTTTCATGGCAGCAAGGTACACTGCCTGCAGAATCTTGGTAGTAGAAACCGTAATAGAGTAATATTCATTGGATTGGTTTAAGGGAAAATTTACAGGAAACCATGGGGTTTCCTGTAAATTTTCCCTTAAACCAATCAATCCAAATATACTTGCGTAATACACTTACCACATCTTACCACAAAAAACCGCTGCACGAAGGCACGGAAGCATCGCTTTGCCATGGAAGACAAAGAAGCAGAAGCCACCCGATGGCAGGCCGAAAGAGTTTTCGGTTAAAAAAATGCTTAAACTGGATCAAAACTACCAAGCTGGAGATTGAAGTGTGCACAGCGTTAAACCTCTCAGAATCTATGAGTGAATGGTCGAAGGATCAAGTGAGAACACTCGAGAGGGAGCTCCAGCAGCTCAAAGGGCGTCGTGATGCTTGGAATCAGGTCGCATTCCCGGTGCTAAATACCTACGGAAGCATCACTTGTTGACTGGGTTGATGAATGGTACAGGAACCATGACTACAGCCACTGGTCACGGAAAGTCACTGTTGATCCGTCACACCGTCCAGTTGATCCTGAGGAAGATTTCAAAACAGCGCGAGCCCTAGAAATGGAAACAACATCAAACAGCCACATGACTCTGGGAGCTGAAGCGCCAGACGTGGCGATTGGAACGTAATTCTAGAGGCCTTTGGTTTTGACATGTTTTGACATAAAAACAGCTGCAGACTTGAAGCGCATTGGTGGAGGAAGTAACATGACTGCAAAGCCACACGCGTTGGTATGCCGTCGTCTTGGAACAACTGAGGAACTCGGGGCCACAGGCGCTGAGATTTCTTGAAACTCTCTTGTGATGATTGATGTTGAGAGAGTGAATCTAAGGTGTCCCACACTGCACTGTCAACTGAGTCAACTATTTTTGTTGACTTGTTTTAGAGTTTTTTAGAGCAGTATTTTAATATGCACTGTTTCTGACTTTCATTGATAGGACTGCGGACTGCTGTCGAACTTTCACAGCTGTCAGTCAAGAGCTCACCAGATCTGAGTTCAGAAACTTTGATGTGAGGTGTTCCTGTCCTTTTCTCTGTTTGATCAAGCTAGCTTGCCCGGCAGTTGTATCATCAATGTTGCCACCAGCTTTGAAATCTGATGAAATCTGAATATGTTTGCCAATAAGGAGCAAGAAGAGACACTGCAGCCGGAGAGCGAAGTGATGGATCCCGTTTTCAGCCCAAAGGCAGGTGCGGTTGAACTCAAACTAGTCAGTCTCCGTCCAAAGCAACCGCGTTTCATTTTACCAATTGTGGCCGCGTAGCTGCTTGAATTCCCTGGGTAGGGTGGCTTGGAAGACTTTGCAGAAGGTGTTGACGGTTGGAATCTCAGTGTTGATGAAAGACATTCGGAAAACACGGTTGGAAACTTACTTTGAGTTTGCCTTCTTTCAATTCAGCATTTGCGACGAAGCCTGAGTGGTTGAGCAATTCATAGCTATACGGTTATACACACTGCTTCCTTTGTCAGCAAATATCCGCAGCTCAAAGCACAATGGACGTTGAAGGCTCTTGGTTCAAAAACGGTACGGTCTAGTAGACCATTTGGAGGTAGACCTTGCACCTTTCAGTGTCGGAGATGTCGGAGGCCACTCAACAAGAACTTGGCGAGATGCTACATCCCAGTGGCAGTCAAGCTGGTGATGCACTGTCGAACACACATTCAGAGCCAGGGAGGTCATGGATTCGCCCCCTTGTTTTTGTTGCATTGGCCATGGCAATGACTACTCAGGCATTGATGACGTCCTGGATTTCGGCTTCCGTGCCAAGGAAGAGCAATCACTGCGAGTTGAAGGTGTTCAACGACATGGAGCTCTCTAGTGCACTCTTCGACACTGTCTGTGCCTGGCTCAACATCGGTGTGAATTTCGTGCCAACAGTCCTTGCAGGATATTATTTGATTAAAAACACCACTCGTCTGGGTTCCCGTCTATCGTTTGATTGGTACTCCGCTTTTATGCTCAGCATTGTGGGAACTTTGTGTTGCTCCATGGCCTATCAGTGGAAGCGTGTTCAGAAGGACTTCAGCAATCAGCCAGGAGCTGCGCTATTGTTCTGGAGTTTCCTCCACATTTGTTTCCTTGGAGTCCAGGGAGCATTCCTTGGTTACCTCAACTCAACGGCAACCAAGAACAATCACTCAGGCCTCCCTTGTAAAGTCTGGGCTTTCGCAATTTGCAGCTTGGGCACACTGCTCGTTCAGTTGTGCCTGGTCTTCTTCATGTGCAACTCATTGTTAATCCTGCTGTGCAGGCTTGCCTCCCAGATCTTCACTACCTTGGCTGAGTATCAGGCGTATCAAAAAATTCGCCACCGAATCGAAAATGCCAGACCCCCGACCGATTTCACAGCATTTGAAAGGAGTGCCCTATCAAGCATCACCATGCTGATCTTCATCAACTTCTCAGAATGGATGGAGCAATTCGTTCTTGCGATGCGGGGCATTTTTCCAGAACTCTACGAAGTGGACGTGGAGATTGCAGTGCTGCTTGCGGTGATCAACACTACAATGCCATTGCTTTACATAGTGTTGCAGACTCCCAATTGGAATTGTGGCGGATCCCGAAGCACCCTTGGCAAGTCGATGCCCTTGTTTTGTCACTTTTTGCTTTGGATCTTCTTCGTCATCTACCTGGTTTGGGGATGCCACATGACGTGCTTTCCATCGGACCTGGAAAAAGCCAATGATGGCGGTTGGTTCTTCGTCATCGCCAAGACTTCAGCGGCAACTTTCTATTTGGATATCCCCATCCTCTTCATTGTTCTTTTGGATGGGGCCTTCATGCTGATGCTGACGAGTATGGGGCTTTACGTCCCACGAGATGACGTAGGGTACATACACCGCTGCGTTGGTTGCAGGCTCATTTTCATGGCCATGGCCCACAGCCTGGCGCATGTCATATGGATTGGTAAGGATGGCCTGTATGAGTACTGCCAGAGAGTTTGGCAGAATGATTTTTGGCCACAGCTTCCATTCTGGACAGGGGTGCTCATGTTGCTGTCCGTTGTGCTGACGCTGCCAGCATACTGCTTTTGCAAGAAGAAGCGCTATGCCACGTTCCTCTTCCTGAAGAGGTCTTCAAGCGTGGTCTTCATCTTCTTCGGCCTCTTTCATGGTGATGCTGCTGCATTGGGACATCCGACGCTCTTCGCATTTTTGCTTCTGGTCATCGTCTATTTTGGATTGGATCAAGGCGTGTTGGCATAGCATTGGATATGAAGGTGTCTTCGATCCAAAGAGCACTTGCACTGGTTTACCGGAGAATAAACCCTGAACATGAAACGACCGTACCACTGGTAAATATCAGCTCATGTCAGCTCCAAGACTTGACTCACAGAATCGAAATAACCTTGTTCCAAAAGCATGGGCGAAGGGGTCCCGAAAGAGAGGCCCACAAGAGTTATCTACCAGATTGTCCTACAGCGTGTCCCACTGGAGTGTAATACAAGATGGTCGTAACAAGACTGTCCCACAAGAGTGTCTCGCAGAGATTGTCTGGCAAGAGTGTCCTGGAAGAGTGTCCAACAAAAGTGTGCTGCTATCATGATGTCAAGTACACGCTTTCAAGATACATGAGACGCATGCCATCCTAATGCCTTCGGGCCAACCGTCATTGAGGTTGTTGCTTGTCTGGCCCGTGCTTTCTTTCACACGGTTGAGCTTGATCAAAGAAGCGTTCGTATCGAACCACAACCAAGAGAAGAGACCATATGGGCGTCGTTCAAAAAACCCGGTATGGCAAGTCATTAAAAACGTCCGGAAACTAAATCTGGGTAGTGTGATTTTAGTCTTCGCTACAAGGCGGGCCCCCAACTAAATCACGCAAATCACCAGCTTGGCGCTAGCTCGGCGCTAGCTTTGCGCTAGGGTTTTTACTCAACCATATTTTTTACTATTATTCTTACTACTGCTACTATTACTTTTACTATTACTACGACTACTACTACTACTTCTACTACTTCTACTACTACTACTACTACTACTGCTACTGCTACTGCTACTACTACTACTGCTACTGCTACTGCTACTACTACTACTACTACTGCTACTACTACTGCTACTGCTACTACTACTACTACTACTACTACCACGACGACTACTACTACTACTACCACTACCACTACCACTACTACTACTACTACTACTACTACTACTAGTAGATAGGTACATATTCAAAAAAATATATATATATATATATTTATATTGGGTATAAAAATTGATCAATGAACAAAAGGTGGATCTATGGAAAGATAAACCAACAGATAGATGGATGGACATGGGCAAAGGCTCCTCTTTGCATGTTTCTGACCTGTTTCTGATTTGTTTCTGACCACTCCGGGATGCCTATTCAATCTTCAAAAAGAAGCACAAAGGCTGCTACTACTACTACTACTACTACTACTAGATAGGTACATATTCATATATATATATTATCTAATTTCAAGAGGAATGAAAAGCATGTTTTCTGATGATTCAGCACGGGTAGGTACATATGATACTTTCTATGGGTACGGTACAGTGGGTACAGTGGGTACGGTACGGTGGGTACGGTGGTACGGTACGGTGGGTACGGTACGGTGGGTACGGTGGGTACGGTACGGGGGGTACGGGGGGGTACGGTACGGGGGTACGGTGGGTACGGTACGGGGGGTACGGTGGGTACGGTACGGGGGGTACGGTGGGTGCGTATACCTGCACCCACCGTACCGTACCCACCGTACCCACCGTACTGTACCACCGTACCCACCGTACCGTACCCACTGTACCCACTGTACCGTACCCAGCGTACCCACTGTACCGTACCCACCGTACCCACTGTACCGTACCCACCGTACCCACCGTACCGTACCCACTGTACCCACCGTACCGTACCACCGTACCCAACGTACCGCACCCTTCACCGTACCATCATTTTTGAAGACCGTACCCCCCCACAGAGCATTACTCTTGAAATCTGATAAATTATAGTAAGTAACCAGCAGATAGAAAATTCAGGATTGCCAGGTCAACAGGTAGAAAAGGACAAAAAGCAGAGAGATAGAATATTATTCTTACCAATAGGCTGAAATTAACAATTTCCCATCATTCCTGCAACTAAATCAAGTTAAAATGAACAATTTCAATGATTATGTGTACCATTTCCTGCAGCTAATTCAGGTTAGAATGAACAATTTCAATGTTTATGTGTGTGATTGACTGCAACTAATTAGTATATTTTTGCATGCCAACAGAGCTGGCACACAATCTTAAGGAAACATTATTAAATTATGTTGAAATCCATCCAAAATCACCAAAACCCTTGTAAAAAACATAGCACCAACAGTGCAAGTTCTTTACCCAATAATTAGGTGGATGTTGACCATTTTTTTGAAAAAACAGTTTTTTAATCACCACCCTTTTGAGGAGGGGGGACGCTCAAAATGCAAGCTTGCAATAAGACGTTGTTTTGGAGGGGGGGACCTATGAAAATGTATGCTTACAATTATTTTTTTTCCATCGTCTTTATTGCAAGATTGCATTTTGATAGGTTCGTAGATTGCAATTATGTACCCCCACGTTTTACCGACTTGCAATTATTTTCCAGGGGGGGCGTCCAATATTGCAAGTTGCATTTTACGGAAACAAATGTAAGAACATGGGAAAAATCCAAGAACAATAGTCTGGAGGTCTGCAAATAGCTGCAGAATTGCAAAAAAATCATAATTGCAATCTGTATCCCTAGAGGGCCTCAATTGCCTCTTATTTTCAATGGATTCTACACTTTTCCATTATTTACACATGTAATATAGATTTATAGAAGGTATATTATTCCTTGCAAATTATTGGAAAATCCTTGAAATTCAATAAATGTAAAAATAGATGTTGGAGGTCTTCAAATTTGCCTCCTGCCAATGAGAAATTAATTCAGCACAGGTGTAAAAATCATGTAATCATCATATGCCTGAGGTCCATATTTACTTGCAGACACAGCTCAAAAAAAAAAACATAGAAGATAAAATCAAGATAAATACATGTAACCATCCTACACCTAAGGTCCATATTTACTTACAGAAACAGCTTAAAATAGATGAGAACATCAAGATAAACCCGTGTAACCATCCTACACCTAAGGTCCACATTTACTTGCAGAAACACTTCAAAGTAGATGATAAAAACAAGATAAAACCATGTAACCATCCTACACCTAAGGTGCAAATTTACTTGCAGAAACAGCTCAAAATAGATGAGAACATCAAGATAAAACCATGTAACAATCCTACACCTAAGGTCCATATTTACTTGCAGAAACAGCTCAAAATAGATGAGAACATCAAGATAAACCCATGAAACCATCCTACACCTAAGGTCCACATTTACTTGCAGAAACAGGTTCACAAC